TATATATATATATTCATATATATATATTCATATATATATATATATATATATATATATATATATTCATATATATATATATTCATATATATATATTCATATATATATATATTCATATATATATATATTCATATATATATATATATATATATATATATATATATATATATATATATATATGATCAAGTAGCTTACCTTTATAGGATGGAAATTCATATCATACATATAAATATACTCCCTCCGTCCTAGGGAGAAGTTCTCGGGTTGACTTTCACACATATTTAGGAAATAAAGTTACTGAGGGGTAGATTTTACTGTTTGGCACTGTTTCGACACTGTTTGGCACTATTTCGACACTGTTTGGCACTGTTTTGCACTGTTTGACACTGTTTTGATGTAGGATAACTTTCCATTTAGGGAAATGGGAACTTTTTGTTGGGACTACCAAAAAGGAAAGTGAGAAATTCTTCCTGGGACGGAGGGAGTATATGTTTATATATTTTTTCACAAGTAAATACGTTTAGCCCAACAAAAAAAAAGTAAATATGTTTAGTTGTTTCTTTATTGAAAATTTTTTATTAATATTACTCTTTAAAATGTGATGGAAAAAAATATTACTTAGCTAAGTAAATATTAGTAACTATATTAATGTTCAAGTTTACATCTTAGTAACTATATGTAAGTTACTATGATGTAAAGTTTAAACATAACTATAATCACTAATAGTTACTAAGAGTAATATTTTTGTCCACGACTTTTTATTAGTAACATTTAAGGAAAAATTCCTTCTTTATTTTTACAACTACAATTTGAATGTTTCTTCACTTTTGAAATAGCTTCCTAATCCAAATTAGGAAATCTTCATACATTTAGGATGTTTTTAATTGGACCAATTTCAGTCTCAGACACGATCGGATCAAACATCAATCACAATAATAATAATAATAATAATAATAATAATAATAATAATAATAATAATAATAATAATAATAATAATAATAATAATAGTAATAATAATAATAATAATAATACTAAATAATAGTAATAATAATAGTAATAATAATAATAATAGTAATAATAATAATAATACCAATAATAGTAATAGTAATAATAATAGTAATAATAATAATAATGATAATGATAATGATAATGATAATGATAATGATAATGGTAATGGTAATGGTAATGGTAATGGTAATGTTGGTCTTATGGGAGATCAGCACCACCCTTTGATTCAGGGCTTAATCGCCCAACCTGTTGGCACCACGATGTGGTGCAGCCCCTCATGTCCATCCGCCGCTCAGTAGTGGGGCTCTGCACTGCCGTAGTGAACTGTGGGGGGTGCCCCACAGGAATCTACCTTGACTTGGGGACTACAGAGTAATGGGTTAAATAGAGGGTGTCCACTTCCTTATCACCAATTGGTTTTAAGAAAGATATGGCTGCTATTTAACCACAGAACTCTGGAGTTAAGCGAGCCCGGGGTAAGAAAGCCCAAGGATGGGTGACCCACTGGGAAGTTTGTCGACAGGGGTGAATCGATCCAACAAGTGGTATCAGAGCGAGGTCACAGGTGAATCTCTCGGCTGGTGCTGAGGGGGTGATTGTTGGTCTTATGGGAGATCAGCACCACCCTTTGATTCAGGGCTTAATCGCCCAACCTGTTGGCACCACGATGTGGTGCAGCCCCTCATGTCCATCCGCCGCTCAGTAGTGGGGCTCTGCACTGCCGTAGTGAACTGTGGGGGGTGCCCCACAGGAATCTACCTTGACTTGGGGACTACAGAGTAATGGGTTAAATAGAGGGTGTCCACTTCCTTATCACCAATTACTCTGTAGTCCCCAAGTCAAGGTAGATTCCTGTGGGGCACCCCCCACAGTTCACTACGGCAGTGCAGAGCCCCACTACTGAGCGGCGGATGGACATGAGGGGCTGCACCACATCGTGGTGCCAACAGGTTGGGCGATTAAGCCCTGAATCAAAGGGTGGTGCTGATCTCCCATAAGACCAACAATCACCCCCTCAGCACCAGCCGAGAGATTCACCTGTGACCTCCCATTAAATGCTTTCCTTTCATGCACAGTCTTCTAGCCGTTGGATGTTTTTACCCGTTGAACTCATAGCTGTTGGATGTTGCTTGAAATCTTCTAAGTGTTAGTCGGGCTCTGATCAGGCTCTTCTGACGTGTTGGATTGATTGCAAATGATTGACCAAGGAATCCGGGAAGATATATTATAAAAATAGAAACCTTCCAAAACGGCGGTCAAGTCAACTGTACGCGCATTCAATGCAGTTGTCTCCTCCTCCAACGGGCAGACAACCTCAGTATATAAGCTACACACCGAAGAACAGAAAAAGAACTTTTGCCACAACTTTTGGTCATCATAATTCAAGCTCTCTTGAGACTCAAATTCTACAATCCTCAACAAGTGGTATCAGAGCGAGGTCACAGGTGAATCTCTCGGCTGGTGCTGAGGGGGTGATTGTTGGTCTTATGGGAGATCAGCACCACCCTTTGATTCAGGGCTTAATCGCCCAACCTGTTGGCACCACGATGTGGTGCAGCCCCTCATGTCCATCCGCCGCTCAGTAGTGGGGCTCTGCACTGCCGTAGTGAACTGTGGGGGGTGCCCCACAGGAATCTACCTTGACTTGGGGACTACAGAGTAATGGGTTAAATAGAGGGTGTCCACTTCCTTATCACCAATTGGTTTTAAGAAAGATATGGCTGCTATTTAACCACAGAACTCTGGAGTTAAGCGAGCCCGGGGTAAGAAAGCCCAAGGATGGGTGACCCACTGGGAAGTTTGTCGACAGGGGTGAATCGATCCAACAGGTAATGGTAATGGTAATGGTAATGGTAATGGTAATGGTAATGGTAATGGTAATGGTAATGGTAATGGTAATGGTAATGGTAATGGTAATGGTAATGGTAATGGTAATGGTAATGGTAATGGTAATGGTAATGGTAATGGTAATGGTAATGGTAATGGTAATGGTAATGGTAATGGTAATGGTAATGGTAATGGTAATGGTAATGGTAATGGTAATGGTAATGGTAATGCGTTGAAGTGAAGAAGCCATCTGAATCTTTCTCCCTCCAACCTGAAGAACCGAAGCCCTAAAGACTTACGAAATGAGGACACGACCTCCGGGATTGTTTACAATTGGAATGCACTATGGTAGGGATGGTGGAGAAGGAAGAAGCAGTGAACACCATTCCGCCTCAAATGTTTCTGGTAAAGGTAAGAGGCTGAACTTGTGTGTACTTTATAGAATAAATTTTGGTGTGAAATGGTTGAACCGGTCTTTACATCTTATTTGCGTTCACATATCACACTTGTATTGCTAAGGCTGCCTTTTCCCTTTATGTCTTCAAATTCACATGGTAGGGTAGGCATTCACTTTATTTGACTGAGATTCCCTTGTCCCTTTATGTTTTTACATTTCAGAAATGGGACCATATTGATTACTCTTTACGCAAGGGGTTGTGTCATGTGTGTTTGGGCTAGCTTGTATGCTTTAATGTTTTTTTTTAAATGTAAATATGAATATGTTATTTGTGCTTGTGGGATCCACATAAGCTGATTGACCTAGCATATTGATTTTTTTAAAACAGATTCAACCACCTCTGAAAGAACATTTACTCTGAAGTTATATTATGGGGGAAGAGTGAATGCTATGGAAAGATCTTCATATCTGGGAGGTACAGTTCAATTATTCCATGATTTAGATGTAGATGAGTTTGGGTTGATTGCATTGAAAGAGAAACTTGAAGAGCTTGGTTGCACCCAGAAGGTAAGAAAAGTGTTTTCTTATTCAAATGAAAGCTTTACTGAACTAAAAGGTGAGGCAGAGGTATGGAGTTTTGTCAATGATGGAAATGGGGTAAGGTGGTGGAGTTGTGGGTTGAATTTGAAGAAATGGGTGAGGATGAAGATGAAGATGTTGATGACTCTGTTGATAGTGACTTTCTGTGCAGTGACAATGAATTAGAACAATTTTCTGGGGATGACAATGACTCTGATTTGGAGGACTTCATCAGTAAGGATGATGTTGATTTTGTTAACAACACTGATCCCACAACTGAATATGCAGGGGTACACAACAATAGTGAAGGAGAAGAGACTGAAAGGGATGCACCAATGGTAGACCCTGACCCCAATTTGTCTGATGATGGTTCCATACATAACTCAGATTCTGATGGTGAGAAATAGACAAGGTTTTGTGCTAAGACTGATATGAAAAATCCTACCTTTAAGCTGGGTATGACCTTTTCTACCAAGGAAGAATTCAAGGAAGCTGTGCAAAATCATGCTTTCAAGATGGGTAAAGATCTGAAGTTTGTTGAGAATGATAAGGAAAGAGTGGTTGTGGAGTGCAAGCATTTGGGATGTCCTTGGAAGATGAACCTAAGAAAAGTAACCAATTCTCATTCCTAGAGGATACTGAAGTACCATTCCACACATGATGGTTGTTCTTGGGTGTATCACAACAAGATGGTCAACTCAACCAAGGTTGCAAAAAGGTGGTTTCAAGAGATTAAAAGTCACTCAAACTGGAAAATCAAGGAGTTTAGACACAAAGTTTGTACATGCACATGGTAGTGTAATAGTCCTATTACTGGACATGGTATTGTAATGGTATTGTCAGATTGAAATTGACATATTAATGGACACATGTTTTTGTAACAAGCTTTTTAAATGACATGGATATGTATTCCGTGTATATGTGATAGATGGTATATGTGAGGTCTAAATGGTTGTGTATGGTGTGGTGTATATGTCTTTTTAGTAAGATGGTATATATCTTGAGGTCATATACATTAAGAAGTCTATGGTGTGTATATGTGACTAATGAAAAATGTCAGAAAAATATCATGTCTTTTGCTCATACTATTGTGTATATGCAGTGTCTTTTGCTCATACTAGTGTGTCTATACAGAATAATCTCAGAAAGATGTCATTATTCTGAATCCAAACACAAAGTTGTCATGTATTTTGCTCATACTTAACACCAAAATGAAATACATTAATGAAATAATTTGATATCATACTCATAATATTCAGGTAGTACAACAGCATCACACCTAATGGGTGAATATAAAACAAAGCAACAATTACAGAACCTAAACACTACAACCACATTATGTGGCTTTGATATACATGGACACAAATACAACAACAACTGCAACAATGCAAACCAATGCCCTACTACATTTAGTACATTTCTTCCTCTTCTTCTCTGGTTTGAACCCTTAAACCTCTAATTTTTCAAGCTTCATCTCCAATGTACGAATTTTTTCCTCATACGCATTCATCTTTTTTAACAGCCCCGGAATTATTTTTTGAGATCTCTTGCACATTGGAGGGTCAAACCACTCCATCATACCACACCCTTTATATGGCTGCACCAACACAATGTAAGCATCCCGTTATCAACCATGTATTCAATATTAAAGGGGAAAAACATATACAAATACTACAATTGAACTCGACCAGTGCTAACCTGACTTCCAATGCATTTCCAAAATCTTCTCCCACTGTTATCTGCTTTCCATGTTGTCAAAAGCTTTAATTGTTGGCCACATTCGCAATAGGTCACTGGAATCCACTCGCCATATTCGTATTGACCTCCGGAATTCGAGCTTCCTGATTTAGCAGTAGACATGCTTCAAAGAATTGAGGATTAGGTTTCAATTTTGCAGACCTGGGTTTGTTGTTATGTTAAAGGCGACGAAGAGGGAGGGAGTTAGGTACCAGGACTTTAAATGATATTAAATGACTCAACTACCCTCCCCTTTAAGTGGTTTAATTAATTTCAGTCGGAGTTTTGACCGGAAGGACCACGGGTGGTGAGGGAAATATGGTCGCGGACTGAATGTGGACAAATTGATAGTGAGGGACGAAATGTGGAAGTGGTATAATAGTCATGGGACCAAAAGTGGAATTTTTTCTTACCAAAATGTCACCGCATTTTTCACTTAAAATTTGATATCTTTCATCCATTTTTTCATATCAATGGCCAAGATTAGTTCTTATTTTTCACATAGGAAGCACTTTTTATTTGATCCATACTCTCTCTCTCTCTCTCTCTCTCTCTCTCTCTCTATATATATATATATATATATATATATATATATATATATATTATATTTTGGTTCAAGTGAGAAATGCATCTAATGTGAGAAATCAGAATGAATCTCAGTCGTTGGATTTCCGATTTTGCACTGAAAATAGCTTGTTGTTGTAGTATGATTTAAATTTGTGCAGTGTTGCACTGAAACTGTTTCATATTGCAGTAAAATTTGACGGCGTTGCACCGAAACAGTTTAAAACAGTTTAATATTGCACTACACGTCTGAAATACAGATTTTTTAGAAAATGCCACCAAACTAAATTGCATATTTTAGTGCAATATAAAGTGTTTTTAGTGCAAGATAGTCGAATCCAACGGCTGAGATTCATTAGGTTCAAATGAGAAAATGATCTTATGAAAGAAATGAGAATGAATCTAGACCGTTAGATTATATTCTATGAAATTGAACATGCATCGGATGAAATTAAAATGTGCATTAGGTGAAATTGAAATGTGCAAAATAAAAAGTAAAACTCAAATATGCATTAAGTGAAATTGATATGTGCAGAATAAAAGGAACAATAAGGTTACTGCATTGTAGTTTTTATTCTGCACATTTCGGTTTCTTCAAATGCACAATTCAACTTCACATCAAATGCACACTTCCCGTGACTCTCCAATTTTTAGACCTCTTTCATTTGAAATGCTTCATGATAGAATTTTTTGATGAACATTTGTGAGCCTATTCTCAATGAAATATAGATCATGTCCACCAAATTTCAGAATAAAATTCGTTAGGGAAGTCGGTTTAATTAATTATTGAAAAAAACTGCATTTTTTATATATAAAAACTACACAAATTTCAAAATTTTATTTAACTGACTTCCCGATAAAATTTTAAGCTGAAATTTGATAGACATAATCTACACTTCATCAAAAAAAATACGACCCCGAAACATCTCAAATGAAAGAGGCCTAAAATTTTAAACTTTTTAGACCTGGCATACATGAACTTTTTCCTCCCTCCCTCTCTCTCGCTATATATATATATATATATATATATATATATATATATATATATATATATATATATATATATATATATATATATATATATATATATATATATATATATATATAGAGAGAGAGAGAGAGGACTGCTCAGGTCCAGCCGGAGGGACGGGAGCAGCTGTCCGAACTTCACTGTTTGGGGCAAGTCCCGGCGGAATTTTTCGATGAAATTTTTTGCGCATGTTCCTCATCAAGTCTAGTTTGTCCATACCAAATTTCAGCTCCAAATTCGACCGGGAAGGCAGTCAAATAAATTCTTGAAACTTACTGCAGTTTATATATGCGCAGAATGTGCAGTAAACTTCAAGAATTTATTTGACTACCTTCCCGGTCGAATTTTGAGCTGAAATTTGGTATGGACAAACTAGACTTGATGAGTAACATGATCAAAAAAATTCATCGAAAAATTCCACAGGGAACCGCCCCAAACATTGAAGTTCGGACGGAGCCTCTCGTCCCTCCGGATGGACCTGAGCATTTCTGTATGTGTGTGTATATATATGTGTATATATATATATACACACAAACATATATATATATATATATATATATATATATATATATATATTGATCTCCCAAAAAATAAGTATCTCCCATATACAATAGATTTTCTCGTTCTCAATTCCACCAAAAATAATATTCTAAACTCCTATTAAGAATGGGAGAAATTCAAGATTTTCTCAAGCACAACGTTGCTATCTATGACTCATCTCGGAATTACGACTCTCACTGACCACCAAATGAAAACTGAATTTCTACCTTAAGTGTGTCCTCCCATCCTCTATAAAAGATTTCAAGTCCTCTATGTAATAAGAATTCCGAGTATGCAGGATTTTTCTACCACCTACCACAAGGGACTTTATTTGAAATAAGGCAGTGTTTGCTATTGATTAAAAAATGCACTTTTCAGCTGTTGGTTTAAAAAAAGTTGAAATAAGTGTTTTCAAACACCAACTTCTACTTAAGAAAAGCATTTTAAAGCCAAAAGTTAGAAGCTGGTATTTGGTTGCTTCTAGGTTTATTTGTAAATAAATCAAACATTAAGGATAGTTATAATGACTATTTTAATCTGCACAACCCAAAATACCCTTATCCCTGTCTTTTCGTTTCTCGATCACATCTGCTCCTCTTTCCGATCCAAAAAACCTTCCATATATACATGAGTCTATTCTTAAAGGAAAACAGGTGCAAGTCCTTTGGCAGCAAAGAGCATGGGCGTTGCCGGCTTTTCTTCTTGCACATCAAGTCCTTCGGCGGCAAGAACATGGTTGCCGGCTTTTCTTCTTCACATCCAATTCTGAGAGCTGTAAATAAATTAAAAATGGGAAAGAGTCTTATCATTCCTACCCAACTTAATTAGTATATAATTAGAAATCCTTACCTGGGGATGCTCCATTTTTGATCCAGAAAAGTAAACAGAGGGGACCAATTTTTTGAGCATATATGCGTACTATAGTTATGTGACGCGCGCTGCGCGATGAGGAAAATGCCCAATAACAACTACAATGATACATCTCAAGGCTACAATGAGATGAGACATAGAAAATGACAATTCAAATCGAAAATGTTTAATCGCTAACCGCACACAAAAATAGACTATACATGCAGGTTGACGGCTCCTGCTACGATCACAATAATTCTCAAACAAACTATGGAGTACTTCGTATTAAACATCCCGGTTTTGTCCAAATACCGATAATGAGTAAAGTGTAGAATTTATTCTGCTTCCGCCAGCCACTGGAACAACGGTGGTTCAGGAGGGGGTGATCCATCACAATATCATCGCAGATGAAAATCATATTCTCGATTGAAGAAGATATTAATGCAAACCTTTTATTAGCACACATGAACGCCCGACCAAAGATGGCGGTGAATATAAATCTGACAGACGACACCACACTATCGAAAATAATATTTCTAGACAATGTTAGAAAAGAAACATATAGATAAAATTGAAAACACCGATGAAGAATGCATCTTTTCCATTGTTGTCTATAGTGATAATATATGAATTGTTTCTTAATTATAAACTTGTGCTTAGAAGTAATGCTAGCTATTTTTTTAAAAGAAAAAGTAATGCTAGCTTGAACACTAATCGATTAATGAGAACTGATAAGTAATGTTTGGAAATGATTGAACTCATCTACAAGCCCAGTACGTCCGGAGATCTAAAACAAGAAAAACTTTGTCAAAATAAAATCTAAGGCAAGCTATATAGTTTTTTTAAAAGTATCTAAGCTATGTAGTTGTGTAAAGCTCTAGAAGGATACAAATTGTAATGAAAAAACAGACTTTACTACCTAATTACTTTTATAATTATTATTTATATACTCCTTTAATTAATTATAATTGGAACTTCTTCAAAAGGGGAAAACTACGCTCCCAAGTTCAGTCAAAATAAGGTTACTGATTACTCTTTAAAGCAAACAAAAAGATTCATATGCATATATCTTATTATTAATTACACACTTCTTTAATTAATCATTATATTAGCAGTGAATTGATTACAAAACCGAGGGAAAGTTATATATGCCTTAGTTTAGCTGCTTTATTAATTAAATCCTAAATTTTCTAGCTTGCATTTTAACAGACTTGCTCAGCAACCATATAAGACTATTTATTGAGCTGTGAGAAAAAGCTTGTCTCCAAATAATTCTAACTTACTAACACACAAAACATATGAATCCCTAAATTATTTCAAATAGCATGTCTGTTTTCACATTTTTTCTGTACGAGAAATGATATCTTCCTTCGTCAAAATTGATTTGCAAAGTCAACAATTCTTAGTCAATCACTGTTAAAGTTAAATCATCTCCATTTTTAATTAACTCAATTGTTAATGATTAAAATTTACATATTCGGAAACTACATATATCTTCAAAGTTGCAAACTCCAGATTATAATATAATTAATAATTAGTATCCTAATTAAGTGAATAAAATGAAACTATTTGACCAAAAATGTCAATTTTGCAAATCAATTTGGAACAGAGGTAGAATATAATTTGGTGAAATTTTATAAAATGAATGTAGATAAAAGTACAGTTAAATACTCACTACATTAGGTTGGACACATTATTTAAGAAGTAAAGTAGCAGGGGTAGTGAATAATGTAAAAAAAGTAGGAGGAAGTGTGTAAAAGTATGAAAGAGAACATAAAAAGTAGATAAAATTATTGTAGTTGAGTATTTTATAAGAGTAAACTTTTAAATACGGAGGGAACATGAACAAGCCAATGACTTTGAAGGTCAACACTTCTGGTCTACAAGCTGAGAGATCATATTATAATTTATAAGCTGATTTCCGCCGACCGTCGAAATACCATAACTAAGGAACAATAACCAGCAGCCGATTGTAGGTGCAAAGGGGGAAAGGATGAATAACAAGAAAAAGGGAAAAAAGGTTAATGATAAGAAATTAAAGCAAAGAATTCAATTGGGTGGACGTGGAATTACACGAACAAAAGCACACGAGATTAGTAAAAATTAGCTCTGTTCGAACCCACTTGAAGTTGTTAGCAACAAAGGAGAAATGAAAAGTTAACGGAAGTTTAAAGAGGTGAAGACTAACGGAAAAAAAGTTAGAATATAATTTAAGGGGTACAATGTTTTAAAATGAATGTACAATCCAATCTAGCTCTATTGTACCACCAACACATTTCATATACCCAAAGAACCCTTACTCTCATTCACTTTTATAAGTTTTTAGATATTATCTTTTATTTACCAGCCACTAAACTGAACTTAAACCCAATTTTAAGATAATGAAAAAATCGTTAAAACTGAAATTGTTGCACAAAAAGATACCAGGTGATTATTCTCTGAAGCTATAAACATCATTGTGTGAACAAGGTATAATGATAATTATTCAAGGCACAAGCTAGACTTCAAATGCATCAAACACAAAATGATCATATTTAAAAAATAGATGAAAATTAGGCAGAGATGAGATCATTACAGATACATGATCCAGGTTCCATTAGTACGTGTACAACGTAGTGAACGGAAAATCCTATATCATAATAACAAAATACTAAAATAGTTTGTGAGGATGCAGGGTTATTATCCACACTTTAATTATAATTAAAGCACTTTTATGTAAAAGGTTTACCAGCTCCTCAATAACATACCATGTACTTTGTTCCTGCTTTGGGCTTCTACTTTTTAGATTATAAGATTTCATTAGATAATTTTTTAGTTATTATATAGGATAGCATTCATTGTCCTAATTCATTTATCTTTTTGCTCGCTGGATAATTATATTTTTCATGTTCGTATACATGAAACACAAAAATATTCTAAAATCTCATGTAGATATTCACAAACACCTGGTATGCTTGAAGAATTTTTATTTGACCTCCAAAAATTAAGTTCATACAAACACTCAAATATTACAAGAAATATTAGTTAAGCTAATTTACACCAACCAAACATGATCGAACATTCAGATTAACTCCACACTTGCTTCTAGTACCATCTATTCATAATTAGCAAACCTTACGTTCATTCTCATAATCTATAGAATTGGTGGCAAATTCTGGAGGTTGCATAAATAAGGCGTGACGTACCACAAATGTCGGGAAGTCGTGAAGGTAAGGCATCTAGCAATTCCACCGTCTTTCCCCGTTTTTACCGTCCTGCTTGTCTCCCACAAGCCTGATACTCTTCTCACCTAGAAGAGTAGTATATCTAAAAACTTATAAGCCTGAATGAGGGTTATACCCTTTTGGGAATTAAAAAAGTGTTGGTGGTAACAATGTGCTCAATGCATTTGGACATTATGCTTTTAACTTTGAACAAGAACATAATACCGAATAACCTTGTGTTACTGCGCCTTACCTCGTTACTCTGGCTTCCGTTAGCTCCCTAATATATTACCATACCCAGATATACTAATTCTCGTTGGCTTCTTGGTTTTAATCCCGTTTAATCTCCTGGTTTCATATATGGTTTGGTTGAAAAAGATGAAATCTATCGCAAGTTTGAGCTCTATGACCAAACCATATATGAAACCAGGAGATTAAACGGGATGAAAACCAAGAAGCCAACGAGATTTAGTATATCTGGGTATGGTAATAGATTAGGGAGCTAACGGAAGCCAGAGTAACGAGGTAAGGCGCAGTAACACAAGGTTATTCGGTATTATGTTCTTGTTCAAAGTTAAAAGCATAATGTACAAATGCATTGAGCACATTGTTACCACCAACACTTTTTAATTCCCAAAAGGGTATAATCCTCATTCAGGCTTATAAGTTTTTCGATATATTCTACTGGGTATAATTTATGTAAGGGCTTTTGTGTGATTTAATCCTATCATACATTAAAAATCACTTTTTATCAAACACTCCAACTTTTACGTTTTAACTAAAATCACTTCTATTACCAAACACTAACAACTTTTACTATAAATCACTTTTCCAATAATCTCTTAAAAAATCACTTCTAAAAAGCATAAGCAATCGCAAACACTCTCTAAATCCCTAAATTAGGTAACTACAAGTCCACAAACACCAAAGGACATTTGGTCCTCAAATAAAAATCTAGAATGCCTGCCTAAACATATCATTGCCGGATTGGTTACCCTCCCAATTAAATCTCAAAAAAATAGTGATAACCCTAATTACCCACACCTCGAATTTCTCTCCAGAAGTAAGAATATATTATGATAATTTCTCCAAATTCATTCTTGTCATACTTTCCAAAAATATCCTTTGAAATAAATATCAATCCACCAATTTTCTTTAACAAAAAATATTCATTTAATTATCCATAACAAATAATAATCCACCAATATTCATATTCACCGGTAAAAATTTAAATATAATTGGTAAAAATGCATTGCTTATTTCTTATATAAATTAGAGAAAAGTACGGAAAAGGTACTTGTGGTTGGACCCGTTTTCAGATATGGTCATGTGTTTCATTCTTTATCAAAGTGGTTCATGTGTTTGAATTCTGTTATCACAAGAGGGTCACGCCATTAAAAACGTCTTAAAAAGACTGTTTAAAGTAACTCCAATTTTTAAAAGTGCCCGGAAAATTAAAAGATAAATACTGAAAGGCGCTTCTCGTCAAGATGACTTATAAACCACCTTCACCTTTGGATTTTTCAGATCTGTTTGAATTATTTTTTAAAAATAATTTCGCTAATATCACTTTTCCGGTGGACTTTCCGGTGACAAGGGTGGCTGAAAACAAAAAAGAAACATGGCCTAGCGGTTGTCTTATTGAGGCGCGCCTTCCGGTATTTTTCTTTTAATTTTTCGGGCACTTTTGAAAATCAAAGTTACTTATAACGGCATTTTTCAAACATTTTTAACGGTGTGACTCTCTTATAATAACGGAATTCAAACGCATGAACCACTTGATAAAGAATGAAACACATAACCCTATTTGAAAACGGGCCCAACCACAAGTATTTTTTCCATATTTTTCCCAAAAGAAACACTCCCTCCGTCCCGCTATGATTGTCCCATTTTATCATTTCGGTCCGTCCCACTAAGATTGTGTGGTTCTAAATCATTCATACTTTATTCTTACTTTATCAATTCAATATCAATCATATAAACTCACTTTTATTAATAACCGCGCCACTTTCTCTTGTCCCAAACTTAGGGGGACGGAGGTAGTAAAAGTGAAATAATTCAAACACATGTATAAAGTTATAAAATACAAGAAATAATGTTAAACAATTTCTTCTAGTTAACATTTTATATTTTATTTTTCATTTACCACAAAATATAAATATTTCATATGTATATTTATCTTAAACATGTACTACGCAGTCATGGACCCGAGCCGGGCCAGGCCCCGTCAGGTCTCGGTTTTTTTGTAGGAGGCCCGGGAGGCCGGGACCAGCCCGGGTAGCCACCGGGTCCGGGCCCGGTCCGGGCCGAGCCTTGGGTCAATTTTTTTTTCCTTTTCTTAGTTAACCCCCCAAACCACCCCAAATGGCCCAAAATACACAGCCCAACCCAAAAAGATAAAAAAAAATTGAAAAACAATAAATAAAAAAACCCGGAACCAGGCCCGAACCGGCCAAGCCGATTCAGCTTTTGGTAAACCGAGCCCGCACCGAAACCCCCCGGACCGGACCTACCTGGACTAGTCACTGGCCGGGCCACTAGGCCGGTTCAACACAGTATCAGTCCCGGGCCGGTTCCGGGTCGTGGCCCGAGTCCATGACTAGTACTACGTATTTTATTTAATTTTATTTTTAGTTTCTTAATATTTTTTGATATTTTGACACTTAAGAATTGAGGTTATTGAGGTGGTAAATTGAACTATCCACTCGTGTTCATTAATTCAGAAACTTAATTGACCGTTTACCTAAAGACGAGACAATGATCAATATTGAAATTTGAATGTTTTTATCAATTGAAGCTTTCTTGAATTCAAAGGGTCAATTGAGCATTCCGGACAGGTACAGGAGTCTACATCTAAATACAACTGTCACGAATATGTGACGTTTCAAATAGCAATAGAAGTATGATTCAAACTGGGCTGTAACTGGCTCTTTTATTATTGAAAACAGCTAATGACAGTACTTAACCAGCAGTATATACTACGTATATAGTAGGAGCATTGTCATTTTATTATGCCCAAAATATCACATTACAAAGCAGACTAAAGAAATATTTCCTTCAAGTACAAAACAAAGGCAATTCTCATAAGGTAAACATTGACTTGAACCATTTCAACGCAATTTGTGAGCAGAACCATATACTGGGAAAAAGCAGAAGAAACATGAAATCAGCATTAACATCAGAAACTTCAGCAAACACAGTACACCTTGTTCTTCGCCACTTCATACCATCATCTTCTCGGAGAAGTAAAGAAATAACAATTCTCAGAGCTTCATTCAAAGAATAGCAAGCCAAAAAACCTGGGAAAATGGTACATTTATGTACTGTGTTTCACCAAAGATGTATAAACAGCAAGGTCATCATCAATATTACATATCAACATATTCAAATAATGAGAAACTAATGAACTGTGTCTATCAACATATTCAAGACCGTAATCGGCATGTCAATAATACATACCAACATATTCAGTAGAGAACTGCCATCCATCAAGCTGCAGTCAATCTCTTCAAGTGAGTAGCAGTATGAGGTATTTTGTCATGTAAACCTGGCAAAATACAATCATTAAACCCAAAGTCAACACTGAAAAAAATAGGTATACAGCAACTAGGAAGTGGGGCGCAGACACGATCAGCGAGGGAGGTGCTAGGGTTGACATTTTAAACTGAAAAAACTAAAACTCACCGCAAAAATGCATCGAACTGAAAGTCGATACCCGAATTATAACCCGAATTATAATCGGTTTAATAACAGCTCTTAGAGGCTTAAACATCGGTTTGAACCAAACCTAAATTTGATGGGAAAAAATATTTTAATTATTTATAGCTCTTTTAACTCCGCCATGAAATCATTTTGGTATCATGTCTGTCTCAAGTCAGAATAGAGGGGGTGTTGTGGTGTGACGGCCATCAATATCACTAAGCCACATCACATGATATGAATTGAAATATGATATCACTACAGTTGAGTCATCACTCATCACCCGTAAGCGACGCTTCATCCCTTCGCCTGAAGTGGTGCCAAATATGTAAGGGCGCACTACACTTCATAGGCCTCAGTGTGGTGATAAAAATGCTAAGGCTGCTAGGTCATCGCCCGGAAGCGACGCGTCACCTCAATGCCCAGGGATGGTGTCAAATATGCAAGGGCATGGTGGAGATTGATGTGGTGTGAAGATGCGAAGATAGGGTGCTGGATTGCGTTTTGAGACGTGGAAAGTTGGCTCTACAACAACAATAACATCCAAGCATTAAAGATAAAGGATAAACGATAAAAGAAATGGAGAGAGTAAAGATAGAAAAGAGATCAATCATCCACATGAATGTGCGCCCTCCACTTTGCTCTCTCCAAAGTCAGACTCTCAACCAACCCAAAAAGACACATATCAGTCTGATTCCTCTAATCCAAGTCTGTTTGGGTCTTCCCCTCCCTCTCCTCTCTATCTCTTATCCCCACCCCTCGTCTAACAGGAGCATCACTCGGTCTTCTAAACACATGCCCAAACATGTGAGGTAGTCGAAGTTATGAAAAGGCATGTGAGATTAATCTCGGAAGTTTTAAGTTTTGGTATTCGGGAGAGAGACAAGATCAGGAATGGAGTAGGCATTATTGTGGCACGTAATTATGTTGAGTGTGGTGAAAGTCTTTAGGAAGAATGACCACATCATGAGCATTAAATTGGTAATAGGAAATGAGATCATGTCCGTGGTAAGTGCTTATGCACCACAATTGGGATTGGATGCATCTATCCCTCAACAATTTTGGGAAGATCTTGAGGAAGGGTTGCGACAAGTGCCAAGGGGAGAGAAACTAATGATAAGAGAAACTAATGATAGGAGGTGACCTCAACGGACATGTGGGGCCACGTCGTGATGATTTTGAGACTATCCCTGACGGACATGGTTTTGGCACAGAAATGAAGAGGTGAAAAACGTTCTGGATTTTGCCTCGACATATAGGTTGGCTGTAATAAGGGTTTTTTACGAGAATATTACTAAAATAAAACTTATTTGCACAAATATGACTATTCATTACTACAATGTAGTGTTGTGGTAACTAAAGTTCAAAACTTGAACATGAATTACTATAATTTCATTACTACTCTAGTAATGAATCATATTTTTGTAAACCATCTTTATTTTGGTCATATTTATGTAATTATTTCCTGTAATAAACACTTGGTTCAAGAAAAGAGACTCCCACCCTGTGACCTATAGAAGTGGAGCTAATAGTACCCAAATTGACTACTTAGGATGTTTTTACTTGGACTTGGACTGTAATTTGATGGCATGGTTTGGTCTGTTTAAGTCTGGTCTGATCTGATAAATGTCTGGTCTCTGCGTATTTTATAACCACGTAAGTCTGGTCTGTTTAAGTCTGGTCTGGTCTGTTTAAGTCTAGTCTAGCACTAAAAACAGTCTGTTTAAGATGTGCATGTTGCGTTGGATGTGAGGGCATGTCGGAAATGACCACTTGAGGAATGAGATAATTAGACAAAAGGTGAGTAACACTTATAGAAGATAAGATGCAGGAGTCTCGATTGCGGTGGTTTGGTCATGAGCGCAAAAGACCGAGTGAATCACTTGTTAGATGACTAGAGAAGTGGAGTGGAGGAGAGAGAGAGAGAGAGAGAGAGAGAGAGAGAGAGAGAGAGAGAGACCCAAACAGTGAAATAGACTTGGATTAGAGGAATCGGAACGAATATGCTTCTTCTTGGATTGGATGAGAGAATGGTTTTGGAAAGAGCAAAGTGGAGAGTGCATATTCGTGTGGATGATTGATCTGTTTTTTTTTCTCTCTCTCTCTTTTATCTTATGTGTCTTTGTATGTTCTTATGTTAATTTTACCTTTTATCTTTCTTATGTTATTTTGTCTTTTTATATTTTATCTTTCTAATGTCCTCATGTTATTCTTATTTTATATTTATCTTTATCTTTTATATTTTATTTTACTTTATCTTTTTATTCTTCTTATCTTTCATCTCTTTTTGGCTCCGAAATCATGGATGGATTAATATGTACTTACACGATAAAAGAAAGTATCGACAACATATCAATAACAATATTAGTAATAATTATTTAAAAATAATAATATGATAGCAGTAGCAGTAATAACAAACAATATATGTAGAAAAATGTAACATATAATTGTAACTTTTATTTTATGTACGTATGTAGTGGATAGATAAGAATTTAGAGTTGATAGACTGCTTTAATTATTAGATAAGCTCGTAGATAGTTAGATCCTATTATTTAGGATCTGAACATAATTGTTGTTATCTGTACTCTGTATAAATACCACTGCCGAATGGCTGAATAATATTCAAGGAAGTTTCATTCCTAAAACCTACATGGTATCAGAGCCTCGGTTTACACATCACAATGGTAGAAACCACAAATTCTGATTCATCCCATATTACAAACCCTAACTCCCAAATTAGCTCTATGACAAATTACCAATCTCCTATTCATTCATCTATAATAATCACCAGCCATAGATTGAATGGAAAAAACTATTTGGAGTGGTCTCAATCTGTCAAGCTTGCAATTGATGGGAGGGGAAAGCTGGGGTACCTAACGGGAGAAGTCAAACCAAAACTTTCTGGTGAGGAAGGCTATAACACATGGAGGTCAGAGAACTCACTTATAACAGCCTGGCTTCTCAGCTCCATGGAGGCCTCAATTGCCAAACCTCATATGTTTATGAAGACAGCAAAAGAGGTCTGGGATTCCCTAAAGGAAACTTACACAGATCTTGAAAATTCTTTTCAAAATTTTGAGATAAAAACCATTCTTTGGCCGTCCAAACAAGGAGATAGAGATGTCACTACCTACTTCAATGAAATGGTGTCTCTATGGCAGGAGTTGGACCAATACAATGATGATGAATGGGAAAGTGTGAAAGATTTGGCCAAACACAAAAAGAGAGAAGAAAATGACAGGGTTTATATGTTTGTTCCTGGGAGGAGTTAATCAAAGTTTTGATGAAGTGAAGGGAAGGATTCTGGGAAAGAAGCCTTTGTCTTCAATCAGAGAGGTGTTCTCTAAAATCAGAATTGAAGAGAGCAGAAAAAGGATTATGAATAACACTCCAGGACCTCAGAATGATACTCAGAATGATACTGGAGAAGAGAGAAAAAAGCCATGGTGTGATCACTGCAAGAAGCTTTGGCACACAAGGGAGACTTGTTGGAAGATCCATAGGAAGCCACCTGGAGCAGGGAAAAAGAAATTTGAAAAAGCTCTCAATACTACTGTGACTGAAACTCAACAAGAGCAGGAAGTCAATTTCAAACAGTTTCCTTTCACAAAGGAAAGGATAGAGCACCTACTCCAGTTTCTTGCTACTCAAAAAATACCCAACCAAGAAACCCCCTCTTGTTCTTTTGCCCAAAATGGTAAAATTACTTCATATTTCTGTTCTGAAAAAACAAAAACCACCGTCATTGACTCAGGTGCAACTGATCACATGACTTTCATTCCAAATCTCTATTCTTCATATACACCTTGTGCAGGGGATAAAGAGTCAAAGTTACAGAGGGCTCTTTTTTCAGCCATTGCAGGGATGGGAAATGTCAATATTTCCTCATCCATTCACCTTTCTAAAGTCTTACATGTTCCAAAACTTTCCTGTAATCTTATTTCTATTAGCAAGTTAACCAGAGACCTTCAGTGTTGTGTCAGATTTTATCCCTCTTATTGCATTTTTCAGGATCTGACATTGGGGAGGATGATTGGCAGTGCTAGAGAGGAAGATGAACTCTATGTTTTTTATGAAGGGACTGAATTAAATAAACAAGGCCAAGGAAAGGCTTGTCTGCAAACTATTTCTTTTCCTTGTAATAATGAAGTGTATTTGATGCACTACAGATTAGGTCATCCTAGTTTTTATTATTTAAAAAGATTGTTTCCTCGGTTATTTCATAATAAAGATCCGTCATCATTTCATTGTGATATGTGTGCACTTGCTAAACATCATAAGAATTCTTATATTCCCCATTGTTACAAACCAACTAGTCCTTTTACTCTTGTGCATAGTGATATTTGGGGTGCATCTAGAGTTTCTACTTTGAAAGGAAAAAGATGGTTTGTAACCATTATAGATGATCCCACACAGGTAACATGGGTTTTCTTGATTAAAGAAAAATCTGAAGTTGAAGATGTGTTTAAAAAATTTTACTAGATGGTTCAGACTCAATTCAATACCAATATTAAAATGGTAAGAAGTGACAATGGCTGTGAGTATTTTTCTCAAAATTTGAACAATTTTTTTTGCTGAAAAAGGGATTGTACACCAAAGTTCTTGCACTAATACACCTGCTCAGAATGGCATAGCTAAGAGGAAGAATAGGCATTTACTTGAGGTCACTCGTGCACTTATGTTTTCAACTAGAGTTCCAAAATATTTATGGGGAGATGCTGTTTTACATGCTACCTATTTAATTAATAGGATGCCATCAAAAACTTTAGGGTTTAAAACCCCTATTGATACACTTCAAAAATGTTTTCCTACAACTAGACTTATCAGCTCTCTTCCCTTAAAAATATTTGGCTGCACAGTGTTTAATCCTGACAGAAAGCAAGCAAATTAGACCCCAGGGGTACAAAATGTGTTTTTCTAGGACTGTCTTCAACTCAAAAAGGTTATAAATGTTTTGATCCTACAAAAAAAGATGTTTGTTACTATGAACACTAGTTTTGTTGAAAATCAACCTTTTTTAACACTCATCTTCAGGGGGGAGAATTCTAGTGAAGATGGGAACAGTGTACAACATATTCATGAAAATCTTGAGTTTCTTGACATTAATCTAGATGCATATCATAATAGAAACTTAGATACATCAGAAAATAGTCAATAACTAGAAGAAAATGAAATAAATATAATTGAAACAAGGAAAGAAGATGAACAGCAGACAAGCAGATTTTTTGGCAAGGTTTATGAAAGGAGAGTTCCAAATCATCTCTGATCCTGTAACTGTTCATGAATCTGATCCGACGCCAGCAAATGAGAAAGGTAATAATTTCAGTGATCTAAATTTACCAATTGCTCTCAGAAAAGAGAAAAGGTCATGTGTCAGATATCCTATCTCAAACTATGTGTCTTATTCCCAGTTATCCTTATCATTTGCAGCCTTTACCACTAGTCTTTCTTCTATTGCAATTCCCTTAACCATACTGGAAGCTCTATCTAAACCTGAGTGGAAGAAAGTAGTTTTGGAAGGTATGAATGCTCTTGAAAGGAATCAGACATGGCAGATTGTAGAGTTACCCAAGAACAAACCTACTGTAGGTTGTAAATGGATTTTTACTCCTAAATTCAAGGCAGATGGAACACCTTGAAAGGTATAAGGCCAGGTTAGTTGCCAAAGGATATACACAAACCTGTGGCATAGACTATACTGAAACCTTTGCCCCAGTTGCAAAATTAAATACTATAAGAATTCTCTTATATTTAGCTGGTATTCTAGACTGGCCACTTCAGAAGTTAGATGTGAAGAATGCCTTCTTAAATGGTAAGCTTGAAGAGGAAGTATACATATGAGTCCTCCTCCTGGTTTTGAGGACAAATATGGATCATAGGTGTGCAGATTGGAGAAAGCCTTGTATGGGCTTAAACAGACCCCAAGAGCTTGGTTTGAGAGGTTCACCCAGTTCATAAAGAGACAGGGATTTCAGCAAGCTCAAGCTGATATACTCTTTTTATGAAATTTTCAAGTAAGGGGGAGATTGCAGTATTAATTGTGTATGTTGATGATATCATTCTTACAGGTGATTATTATAAAGAAACTGCAAGTCTGAAGGAGAAACTAGCCCAGAAATTTGAAATCAAAGATCTAGGAGAACTGAGGTACTTTCTTGGCATGGAGATAGCTAGATCAAAAAAAGGAATTGTGGTATCACAGAGAAAGTATGAGTGCATGCAGACCAATAGATACCCCAATTGATCCTAATCAAAAGCTGGGAGATGTCAAAGAGGGAGTTCCAGTTAATGTTCAACAATATCAAAGATTGGTGGGAAGATTGATTTATTTGGCTCATACAAGGCCGGACATTGCTTTTGCAGTTAGTATGGTTAGCCAGTTTATGCACAATCCATTCCAGGAACATCTTGATGCATTTTACAGAATTCTAAGGTATTTGAAAAGTTGTCCTGGGAAAGGATTATACTTTAGAAAGAACAACAGTAGAATTGTTGAGGCTTTTACAGATGCTGACTATGCTGGTTCAATTACTGATAGAAGATCTACTTCTGGGGAAATCTGGTGACTTGGAGAAGTAAGAAGCAGAATGTGATTGCTAGGAGTAGTGCAGAATCTGAATTTAGATCTATGGCTAATGGAATCTGTGAACTAATATGGATCAAGAGGGTAATTTCATAACTGAGAATGAAGATGGATTTACCTATGAGGTTATATTGTGATAATAAGGCAGCCATTAATATTGCTCATAATCCTGTGCTACATGATCGTACCAAACATAATGAAGTTGGCAGACACTTTATCAAAGAAAAGATTGAGGTTGGGATTGTGTGTACTCCATTCATATCTACAAAAGAGCAAACAGCTGATATATTCACAAAGGGATTGTTCAAACCAGTGTTTGAACTACTTATAAGCAAGTTGGGAATGTATGATATATACTTACCAACTTGAGGGGGAATGTAGAAAAATGTAACATATAATTGTAACTTTTATTTTATGTACATATGTAGTGGATAGATAAGAATTTAGAGTTGATAGACTGCTTTAATTATTAGATAAGCTCGTAGATAGTTATCTGTACTGCTTTAATAGGATCTGAACAGAATTGTTGTTATCTGTACTCTGTATAAATACCACTACCGAATGGCTGAATAATATTCAAGGAAGTTTCATTCCTAAAACCTACAATACAATAATAGCAACAATAATCAACCATAAATAAATAGTTTAATAATATTGAAGAACAAAGCTATAACATTTTGCATTATCATATTTTACAAATCACCATTGTAGCCTTTTAGAGCAATCTGTAACACATCCACTTAGTAGAGTTTCATTTCATGTTCATTCCAGCTACAAAAAACTAGAATTGGAAAAGTAATTAAATGATATAAATGGTAGAAGTGTGTAGTAGTAGTAGTAGTAATGATGATGACGACGAGGATGACGACGCCGCCAATAATAATAATAATAACTTCAGAAAATACGAACTATCTCCCATAAGCTAATAGTAATGTGTAATTTTAAAATAACTTTAAGAATACAAGTTCTCCGAATATATACAAAACAACATGGAGTCACTTTTTAATTACAAATTTAATCATTTAACACCATTTAAAAGTGATAGCAAAATAAAAGTAATAGTAATAGTTATAGTTATAATTATAGTAGTTAACAACAACAATAAAAATAAATGTAATAGTAATAGTTATAGCTATAATTATAGTAGTTAAAATTATAATAAAATTAATAGTTATATTTTAATAATAAAAATAGATATATAATAATAATGACATCAACAGTTATAATGACAATTATAATAATTATAATAATATTCAGAATTAACTTATAGAGTTTAATAATGTTCTATTATATTGTTGTAACTATAATGCAAGTTCCTAATGTAAACATAAGGTGTTATAGCCAAATTGAGGCTACACTGAGCAAGATGCACGACCCAGGTTCGAATATCCTACCCTAGCGTATTTTTCCTTCATGTTTTAGTTCCTTGGCTCTCTTGTGTATTTTTTCCTTCACGTTTTCATTCCTTAGCTCATTATTTCCCACACTGAATGAGCAAGAGGACTCACCCCATCCATCTCCTAATAAATAAGTCTCCACTTTCTCTAATTTCAGCAAGGCACTAGGCACCATTGCACCAAAGGCTCTCACACCTTATGCCTTGACAAAATATCGGTTATTGATAATACCAAGCAGAAAACTCGGTTATAGAAAATGTGGTAGCCGAATTACATTGGTTCTGTTTTGGTTTACAAAAGTTCATAAACCGATTGTTCAGTTCAGTTATAAACTTTGGCATTTCAAAACGAATCCCCCCCCCCTAATAGGTGCAGCTGAAAGAAACAAGTAAGGCTCAACCTCGACCCGTTTATTTGTGGAAAAGAATCGAGCCCCAGCTCTGGTCCATACTTGACTCATTTATAAGCTGAACCAGCTCGGCTATATAACTCCATGTTCGTGAGATCGAACTTTAAATGAGTTGAGTTTTATCTTGAAAGTAAAGAGCTGAACTCAAATATGTGGAGGTGGGCTTGGTGGGCTCTGAATAATCTCAGATTAGAGGATAGGGAGGCGGAAAGGCAGAAGGGTTGGGAGAGGTCAATTCAATGAAGGAGATGAAAAAGCGTAAAGGTCGCAGGGAAACTTAGCACTTGGGATTTTGCATGTTTTAGAACAGTGTGAAACAACCCTTGAATATATTTTCCAAATACTTTATGTTATTAAGCATTTATTGACCGAAATATTGAATTCTCACCGATGCAGAAGTACCTATCCATCTGAAGACACATTTATTGACTACTGCTAGGTAATGGGAAAATAAATCATCTGTCGTGCCAAATTTTAAAATATACGCTGAATTAAGAAGTGATCAATAGGGAAAATAAAGTAATAGCCAGTCCCACAGGAAAGTGACTACCGAAGTATGGCAGAATACATGAGAGTCCCAGGTTCTCCAGATCTACAAATGGAGAAAGACCTGGGAAAAGGCCACACCAACTAAAGATGGATGGTTTTAATTGGATAATTTGATATTTACCGGCATATTCAGACAAGCTGAACAATCAACGTACACAGCTACTTCATTGGTCAAATTTCATCTCTGTATATCTGTACGAAACATATCAAAATCTCCTTCAAGCTCGAAGTACATAGAAAGTGCCACAGGATGAAGTATATAATTATAAATGTATCACACTACTACTTCTAGAGGTTAATACTCCTCTGTCCCAAAAAAAAACACTTGCAGTCATGTTGAGTCAAGGTAGACGTTTAGAATCATGAGAAAATTACAACTCTTAAAAGTCAAGGAATCATGCTTAATTTTTAGGGAACTTTTTATTTGCCAAAAGTTATAATGAAAAAACTGTTCGAATCTTTTTTGGCAGATTACATGGAAATTTAACTTTAATTTATGAAATAGGACTAATATTTTGGGATGGAGTTTTACACACAAATTAAATTAGGTTTAGTTTTACCTGCGAGGATTTTTCTGCCGTTGCCCAATGTCATCACTTCCTAATTCTGGAAGTGAGAGAAGGGATTAAAGATCACATGAAGGGATTGATAATTAGATCCAAGTTAAAAGCAAAAAAGCATATTGGCGACTACAAATTTGAAGATGAAAAGTAAGAAGTATATCTTACCAGGCTTTTGTGAGGGCATACCTTCATTGGTGTTTTTGGTGTTATTGTTCTCCATGCTGTAGAAAAGTTTAATTATTAAGCTCCACATGCACCGTTGCACATAAAAACCTTCTCATCTATGTTGATGTATGGGAAAAATATATTTACCACTTCTGCTCCAACAAATATTAGGCCATTAGCACTATCAGTCCCCAACTTCAGTAATTCAATATTGGGGCATAACTACGGATTGTTTGCCACTTTTAGTCCTTTATGGTCTTGTCTAACGAAAATCAACCAGAAATTGTACAGAAAGCCAAATAAGTGGTTGGAAGAACCAAAAGTGGTATAGCGTACTTTATAACCAGGTGCTTTATTTTATTTTTAATTTGAGAATTGTATTAGCGTACTTTTTCTTCTAGCAATATGTCTACCTTACTACCTTATCTAAGAATGTTTTTACTTGGACTGAAATGTACTGGTTTGGTCTGTTTAAGTCTGGTCTGGTAAATGTCTAGTCTCTGTGTATTTTATAACTATGAAAGTCTGGTCTGGTCTGAACTGGTCTATTTAAGTCTGATATGGTCTGGTCTGGGACTGAAACAGTCCAAGTAAAAACATCCTAATACTGCAAGTGGACAAGTGCATGCTTTTTTGGGAGTGGGGAGTGGCCAAGCAGAGCCAGCCATGAGGGGAGTTACCCCAGGCAGTGGCCTTGGGCCTCATATTCCATGAGGGCCTCAAAAAAATGTGTTGTAGTAATATAAAATACAAGTACTCCGCATTATTTTTAACTTCACATGCCGGCTTATAGTTTACACAAACAAGGTACGTAGACCGTAGTGCGGTACTATGGTTCTAAACTTCTAATTGACTTGAGGTAAATCAAAGGTGGAGTAAAATTACTTGACTAAAAGAAGTTAGGGAAAAAGTTACTAGTATATGATAAATTGATTATTGGTATTACAGGTATACTCATTTATGTAGGCCCAATGGTATTTAAATTGAGTATTATGTTTTGTAGAATTGCTGAAATAATGTAGTCCGCATAAAGTAGTACGAGAGTATGATTGTAGTACTTATAAATTATGACGAATACTTTGTCCCATAATTGTTAACGGGCAGTTAACTATCTAAAAATGGTATTATTTTATAATACCAAAATAATTTCGAATACTTCATCTTAATATATATTATATTGAAATGTTAGTTTATTATAAGTTTTATAAGTATATATGTTTATATATCAATAGTCTGACGTTGATGTTGGAGACCGTGAAAATTCAACTGTGAACTTAATTAATGGTCAAAAATAGTATATGGTAAAATTAAGGTAGTAAAAACAATGACTATTGTACTTCAGTGACGGCAAAAGTAAACCATAATAATATTCAATTTTACATTATAATAACTATGCAAATATATTCATAGTAACTTTAGCAATACTTTTTAGAAATTATGTGTCAATAATATTTAAAGAAAACTTGCTACTAAATTAGTTTAGTTTTTTTTTCACAAATAATACGATGCATTTTAAATACTCTTTGTTTATCGTATTATGTGCTTTTTTTAAGTATTGGTACAGTAACATATTACTACGTAATATGATATGTCAATATTAACTATTAAGTGTTTTTTGCCTAGGGCCTCCTCGACTCTCAAGCCGGCCTTGTGGCCAAGTAGGACACAAAGTAAATCTTATATACTACTCCCTCCGTCCCGCTAAGATTGTCTCATTTTTTCCTTTTCGGAAAATCTCACTAAGATTGTCTCATACCAAATATTGTAAAGTTTGTGTGGCTCCAAATCATTTTTACTTTATTCTAATATTCTTACTTTATCAATTCAATATCAACCACATAAACTCACTTTTCTTAATAACCTTTCTTAATAACCGTGTCACCCCCTCATGTCCCAATGTTAGTGGGACGGAGGTAGTAATGAACATATATATATGTAATTATGTAGTAATATATTATATATATCATATATTCATATATAATAAGTTAAAAATTAAATATAGTTAAATAGAGTATTATATATAATTATATATATAACTATGTACATAATATAACATATAATGTATTATAATTTGCGACTAGTCACCTAATTGTTGCCTCGGTTGGCGATATGGCGGTTGGTTGGCGCCGCGACTCGCCTTACCGTTGTGACAACTTTGGCCTTAATATAGTCATTCTGATCGTAACCAAGCCTTAATTTGTAATCATTCTGAAGTCTTAAGATTAACCATGTAACTAAGTAGGTAACTACCTTATACTCCGTATGATTTAATTTTTGAGAAGTCCAGGACACATTAAACTAGTAAATGGAAGTATAAAAAATAAATTATAAAATTTAGGTAAATCAGTGAGCTTAAGGCTCCTGAACATATTAAATCAGTAACCATTGAATGTTTATTTTGTTTCACTTGTGACTGATTTTCGTCTTCAAAATCTTGTTTAACGAATTGTGGTATTTATATGATTTTATCATTATTTTTGTAAGAAGGTATCATGTACGAGTTGTATGAGTATTACTAACAAATATGTATGCTTAAGTTCGGTGAGATGTGCGCCTTCACCTAGCGTCTCGGCTAAATTTAACAAAAAAGCCTCATGGCGCCTCACACGTTTTAAAACTACGCTGGTAGTAATATCCTAATAGGTTTAAGGTTGACCCTTGGAGTCTTGACAAGGTCAGAAACCACCTTCTCTTGCCACAGGCGGAGAAGTTATTCATCTTTATTGATTTAATTGTTCTTCTTTTCATCTCCCTAACACTCCCGTAACAATTTGATGTTGCAGCCCACGTCTCTACGAACTTTGTCGCTGCCACTACCAGAACTGACGTCACTGAAAAAGTTGACGCTTGAACCAGAACCACCCACACCCAGAACTGTCTCAGCCACCCTCACTGCCTCCACCGCTACCAGAAATGTCGATGCTACATCCTTTGCCAAATCTGTCCGCACAGCAGTTGCTTGTAAATCTACTGAACAGGTGCATTTCTCTTCACTGCACCTAATAGTTTGTAGGTATTTAAACAATGAAGGCATTGAAGAACCAAAGTGAAAGAAGTGTCATGGTCTCTTAGGTAGGACTGCACGTCAAAATCGTTGATCTTCACATTTTCAAATGTGGGCGTTTGTTTGTTTGTTCCTAAAGATGCCATTTGATCATGGAAAAGTTTGGCATTCAATACTACTCTCTTCAAGTTTGAGGGTAAGCTTGATGTACGCGAGGGAAGTAATGATATAGGTGTATCTATTATTATTATTAGTTTTTTTGTAAGTATTAGTTTCCTGTTGTTATTTGTAGCAGTAATTTCTTAGTAGTAATACTGTAATAGTAGTCTATTTTGTTAATATTCCAAGTAGCAGTACCTTAATATGTTAATAGGTTTAAGATTACTCTAGTACTAGTCCACCAAGACTCTTGGAAGTAGGAACTCATATAAATGGATGTTGATATTCATTAATAAAGTGATCGATATTTTTGGAGTTAATCCTTGGAGTCTTGACAAAGACAGACGCCACCTTTTTTTGCCTAGGGCGGAGAAAATCTTCATATTTATTGATTTAATTGTTCTTTTCATCTCCCTACCCCGCCCTTAACAGAAGATTTTAAAATAATGATAGTATTGTGATAGCATGTATGTTCCCAAATAAACAAGACATAGAATATTGTGCAACAGTGCACAACATTAGAGCATGCTAAGTTAGTTATTGATTACAAATATGCTATAATAAACGCATACCTTAAAGAAGCAGTGAGGGAAGAAATCTGCCCAGGTGGGCGACCATGATAGGCACCATCAACAGCAATGTAAGGGGAGCAATATTGAGCCCCTAATGCTCCAGCTGCACCAGCTAAAACAGGTAGCCTGGTAATGAAAGCAGGCTACATAAATGAGAACCACTGGGGGTACAAAATTATTAGAGATACGAAAAGTTAAATAAATACCATTAACTTTGAGCTCATTGCCAACGATAGGACAATGAACTTGCAACTTGGACGGACGTACATTCAGGAACTAATTAATTCTAATAGAACACTTAATTAAGCAAACAATGAACGTAAGACAAGCTAACAAATATAGCTCTCAGTTATGGAGTGTCTACGGCCACGGGCCACTCTAAGCATTTCAAGGTTGAATCTTACCAGGTCATCTCCGAACTCCCTAATCCAAGTTGTGGCTGGGCCATATAGCCTGGAAATGCCATGCCAACAGCAGGAACTCCCATACCACTCGGGTGCTGTCCACCTAATTGCATGACTGCACATATAATTTAGCATTTACTTCGGAGTCCCGAAAACATTTAATATCTGAAATCAATAATTGCATGCCTTCTACTGGGAAGTAATGCTTAAAAATGATGGATTAGATTAAATGCATCAAATGATCAAATAAAAGATGAATTACGCAAACAATAACCCCAATGACGAGAGTTGTCAACGGCGCAAATGGTGATCACCATTTGTCACCATTGGCATTTTAGGAGGTCTTCACCACATTCCCAATCCCTGGCGGCAACTGCCAACGAGAATACATGTGGTGACGCCATTGCTGCGCCATCTCCTGAGCTACAATTGGGCCTTATTTAGAAATTTAAAAAAATTAGGCCTCATGTCCAAGTCAGTTAAGACTTATGATATCCCTAACTGGCTAACACATGAATTAATAAAAAAGGCCCTTAGACCCGTACACCTTAGTTAAGACTTACTGTACCAAGAGTCCAAGACGACCCAGTGACCACCAGAGGCTGTGCCTCCACAAAGAAAAGGCACAGGCAAGAAATATATTTTTGTTTTCAGTTTTTGTTGTGTAATTGCTCTATCTATATCAATATATATAGCTCTTTCCGTAGGTGGGAGCCTTTGCGGCACTGGGGTAATGATAATGATGAATGATACACACACACACATATATATATAGTTCTTTCTACCTTGCTTCAGGAATAATATCATAAATTCATAATGTTATGATATGCAGTATAGAGTATATTTTAATATTAATAATTTGTATTACTAAATACTCCCTCCGTACCACTTTGAAAGATACACTTTCCTTTTTGGGATGTCCCAAATATATGATCACTTTCCTAAATTGAACTCCAATAACTTTTAAGTTTCCCACTTTATCCATTTATCTATAATTTCACCCTTTACTTTTTGTGAACTAATCTTACTCTTACTTACATTTTGGAGGTTAGAATTGTAAAACAACCACTTTATCCTATAATTTCTTAAACCTCACACCAAACTCACATGTACTTACTACCTAGGTAGTATTAGAAGCTGGCTTATGACAGTATGTGTATTATCATATTTTGTATACTGTAATATGTATGATGATATTAGTTTTATTATCATATTATGTATACTGTAATATGTATTAGGATATTACTTTTATGTAAGTAGTTTGTGCTATAAAGTATGGTTTATGTTTTATGTTTGTTTTCTCACTTTACAGTCTCTCTGTGCTTTAGTACAGGGGTAAGACTGCGTACATCCGAACCCCCCTTACCCCACCGTAGGTAAGGTTTATTTTTTGTACTGTTACTTGATTAAGTATTTTATTTGGATTTGGTCATTTGACATTTCTATTGGTGATTAAATCATAGAGCTATAATGTTTATACTTCATACTTATACTTGTTATATTTTTAGTGCATCGACGTCACCACGTGAAATTGCCCCCACGCCATGGTTGTTACCATACCAATGTGTGTAATTGCGCGATGCAATTACGCATTTGCACCATGAGGCGCGCCTCACCCATTTTTTGTAGTAAGGGCGTATGGCGCAAAATTGCATGGCTTTTATGGTGCGGGTTTTGTATCTTAAGCAATGTGGCATGAAGGCGTAAACAATCTTCAGTACGCAATGGGGCACCTTGAGGCATGCGCAATAGCGCTAGCTATACGACCTGAATCCGTGGATACCCGGTAACACCAACCGAAGTCGTGGACGAAAACCCGATAAAGTATGGATGAAAAATGGATGATAGGTGGATTGAAAGATGGATCGGATCGGGTGTGGATGAACACTCATCCCAACCCATCACCCGCTCCATCCATCCACCCACATATATATAGAATACAGATGCAGAAAAAATCAATACCCTATATAAATTAATATCTATATAATAATATATTTAATAATTAATTAATATATTAATATATATATATATCATACAAAAACGAAATATGTTATTTGAAGAAGTTTTATGTATTTTGTGTTTGACACTAACTTGTTTCTTTATTTTAACAATCATTTGTGATTTACTACCATTTTCTCTCCTGCTACAAGTGAGGCAGTGATCCAATATTCTAATAGTTTGATGATTGTGACATGCTAGATTACTTAAGTTTTTATTATTATTCAATGACTTTTAATTTTTATTGTTAATTGTGATGATTTTTCTCCCGTAAAAAAAATGTGATGATTTTTCTCTATAATTTGTTTACTTTTTCTTTTGAAGTTTGATCATTTATGTTCACCCGTTAATCACCCGATAACCCGCTCATGGTGAACGGGTTGGATGTGGACGTAATTTTTAATGGATGGACGGGTGGGTTAATATAAATAATTGGAGGGTGGAAGTGGGTGAGCCTTCAACCGATGTATATCCGACCGTTGCCACCCCTAGTGTGCAATAGGAGGTTAAGGGTATTTTTGGGCCAACTGGGCCCACTTTTTAATTTTTATAGTACATAATTTATATTACTCCGGTCACAACTCCAAATCTGCAACTTTCATGTTTGGTTTTATGTCGAACGCACAACAAGACAACAATTGAGGTCATTCACCTTCTTAGCCAAGTTGTGGAGAAGTATAGAGACACTAAAAAGGACCTACTTTGGTGTTCATTGACTTAGAAAATGCATATGATGGGATACCTCGAGAAGTCCTTTGGTGGGCCTTAACTAGAAAAGGCATCTAGTGTTAGTATATCAGTATCATGATGGACATATATGAGTCATGTACTACAAGTGGTGTTCGTACTTGTGTAGGGAGGACAAGGGAGGACAACAGAGTTCCCTATTACTATGGGAGTGCACCAAGGATTGGCTCTGAGTCCTTTCTTATTTGTTATAGTCATGGATGAACTTACGAAATCAATTCAAGAGGATATACCATGGTGCATGATGTTTGCCGACGATTTTGTATTGATTGATAAAACGCAATCGGGTGTTAAAGCAAAGTTGGAAAAATGGCCACAAACATTGGAGACCAAGGGTTTCAGACTGAGACAGAGCAAGACTGAGACGGAGCAAGACTGAGTATATGAGTGCAAGTTTGGTGGAGGTAGAAGTAGTAGCAACAGTGGGATTACTCTTGATAGGAAGGAGATAGCGGTGTGTGATATGTTCCGTTACTTGGGCTCCATAATTCATAAGGATGGTGAATTAAATGGAGATGTATCTCATAGAATCAAAGCTGGGTGGATGAAATGGAAGAGCGCATCAGGATTTCTATGCGATCAATGTATGTCAACTGGACTGAAACGTAAATTTTATCGAACAATAATTAGGTCTGCATTAATGTATGGCGTAGAGTGTTGGAAGGTGAAACAATGTCACATTCAAAAGATGAGTGAGGCAGAGATGCGTATGTTGCGTTGGATGTGTGGACATACCAGAAAAGAACGTTTTAGGATTGAGATAATCAGACAAAAGGTGTGAGTAGCAGCTATACAAGATAAGATGCAAGAGTCTTGTTTGCGGTGGTTTGGGCATGTGCGTGGAAGATCGAGTGATGCATCTATTAGACGACTTGAGGGGTGGGGAGAAGAGCTAATGAGGAGATGGAGGGGAAGATCCAAACAAACTTGGATTAGAGGAATCAGCACTGATATGCGCCTTCTTGGGTTGGATGAGAGTATGGCTTTGGAGACAGCAAGTGGAGGACGCACATTCGTGTGGACGATTGATCTCTTTTCGATCTTTCCTCTCTCATTTTCTTTTTTTATCTTTTATCTTTCTTATATTCTTATGTTATTGTTATCTTATATTTATTTATCTTTATCTTATCCTTTTGACCTTACTTTTCTTTTCTTTTTCTTCTTGTCTTTCTTTTCTTTTTGGCATCGATATAATGGATCGATTCATGTTAACCGACCCCAAAATCTTTTGGGATGTTGTTGTTGTAGTATCAATATTTTCCATAAGTGTATATTAATATTCTGCATATTGATATTTTCCATCAGTTTGTATATTAATGTTAACTTCAAATTTTTTGTATCTAATCACCTATTTATCACATGTATTCTCAAAATCAGGGGAAAGGAATGTTATTTATTCAATTCTAATAAAGCTGAAAGGGAAAAGAAAGGGAAAAAGACTGAGGGGGTGTTTGGAACTGATTCTGCTTCTGCTTCTGCTTCTTTTTTAAAGCAGAAGCAGAATCAGAATCCGTTTTCAGAAGCTTCTAAAACAACTGATTCTGAGAGTAAATTAGAGCACCAGAAGTGCTTCTGGAATTTCACTCAAACACTCCAGCTTCTGTTTCTACTACCTGAAAGAGCAGAATCAGTTTTGAGAATCAGGTCCAAACACCCCCTAATGTTACATATACCCATTCTTGTAAGAACAATCGCCTACCTAATAACCCATACATACAACTCTCACCTTCCTCTACTATAGGTTTGCATTCTCAATATTAATGGCAGATCCATGAAAGCTTTTCATCAAAAAGAACTTTAACCTCAACTTTGATATTAATATATTTTGTTAAATTTCTGTTAATATTATGTAAAGTTAATACTTCGTATTATATACCAGCATCTGATGACTTTTGATAGGATTATGAGCTCACTATAATTTGTTTTTTATATGAAATTTGAAGAATAATTTATTTTATTTTTAATTGTTATATATACACAAATACTCCGTCCGTCCCATAGACAGGTTCCCATTGCTGTTTACAAGGTTTGACTGAAGAAAAAGCAACTCAATCCCTGTTCAAACTCAAATTATTTTTAGTAAATAAAATTTACATATTCAAAAATTCATTAAAACCCATACAAAGCCTGATCAAGAAATTTAAGTTTGATAACATTTTGATATATAAAGTAAAAGATTAAGATTGATTTAAGTTGACCACTGAAATAGTGAATGGGAACTTGTTTATGGGACGGAGGTAGTATATATATAGCAGAGGGTTGTAGTGAGAACTCCTCGTAAAATGAGAACTTCTTATAATGAGAACTTTTAATCACAACCTTTCATTTTATTCCATGATTTCTATCATTGGTAGGATGCACGTGAGGTCCTTTGTGTAAGTATTCAAAATTCAAATGGGGTACTTTTTGTAATTATTATAAAATTATTACAAAAATGCCACCTTATTGATTCTAGCCCTTGATTTGATATATCAAAGATGGAGGTTAAGAGTTCTCATTTATATATGGGTTCTCATTTTAGGAGGGGTTCTCAATAGAACATTTCCCTATATGAATATATATATATATAGAGAGAGAGAAAAAAAAAAGATTATGTCCATCCGGATGGACGGGATGCGCCGTCCGGCCGCCGCTGTTTGGGGCCAGTGGAGTTTTTTTTTGAAAGTTTATGAGCATATTCCTCATCAAGTCTAGTTTATCCACAAAAAAGTTCAGCTAAAAATTCGATCGGGAAAGCAGCCCAATAAATTTTTGAAAATACCTGCGTTATATATGTATAATTTGGCGCAATTATATTCAACAAATTATTTGATAGACTTCACGATCGAATTTTCAGCTTGTGGATAAACTAAACTTGATGATGAACATGCTCAAAAAAATTCATCAAAAAAAATCCGCCAAGAACCGCCCGAAACAGCGATGGCCGAACGGAGAGTCCTGTCCCTCCGGCTGGATGAGATCATTCCTAATGAGGCTTGAACAATGTGGCAATATGCCATTTTAAAAAAATGTCACGACTACGCAATACGCCATTTCGAACCTTGTGCCATACACCATGACAACTATGCCGACCATTTGACAAAGCAAAAGGCTTCAAAGGAAGAAGAATGAATGTTCTACACAAATCTAGACAAGGTTGCATCTTATATTCACGTGCAGTTATATGTTCCGTCACAAGTAGTGCCTGAAAGAAAAATAACATACCAGGTAAAAAGGCTGGAGTTGCAGAGAAACTTTGATCACCATGCGTGCTTCCAGTGTTTCCAGGTCCACCCATAACCTGAGTTCCAGCATAGACAATCGACCCTTTTCCACTGGGGTTCATACTTCCTTTTCCTTTTGTTACAGCATTATTTATCTTGCTGGAATCTGAAGGTATATCAATCTCTGTGGTTTCGACAACGTTTACAGGTTGGTCATTTTTAGGTGGGGATGAAGCTTGAGATCCAGCACCATGATGATGGTTGTATTGCTTCCCTGTAGCTTGCACAAAAGGTTGTCCCCTGCTATGAACATACTTTTTCTGCATAGATTCGAGATCATTTGAAAGTGAGCCCCTGTCCACTTGGCTATTTTGGACAGTTGGTTGAAAATTCATCAGGGAGTATGTAGTTATTGCTCTCCCTTGCACCCTTGGTGGAATGGACTTGGGAAATGAGGAGCATTCAACCAACTGCATTGTTGTTGAAGGCTTTCCAGCAACTAAAGGAACTGCACCATCAATACTAATCTTGTTGACAGCAATAGCTTCAGTCACATTCTTCCCTCTCAATATTGAGCTAGATTGAAATGGAGAAGATCTCACACGAAAAGATTGAGTATCATTCCGACTGTTTGATCCGGATTGCAAGTCTCTTGCATGTGTTGTGTTCATATCTTTGGCATTTGAGGGATAAAATGGAGGAGAAGCATAACTCAGGCTTGATACAAACCCTTGTTTGGAAGTTGGTTCTGGATCCACCACTTCTACATTTGATGCATCAAGTAAAAGTTCATTCCGGGAGCGGACCTGAGAAGGTGTCTCAGCAGACATGCCAGGGCTGTATTCAAAGGAGCAAAGGGATAAAATTGAATACATGATCTCCCTTCGCCCTTGGGATCCATTTGGAACCCCACAAGTACCATGGAAACAAAATAGGAAGTAAAACATAAAGAAAAACTAGAAGTACATAAAATATGGGTGAAAATAATATATAGGCATTGCCTCATAGTTCATAGGATAAAACTCATTAACTTTATTTTAGATACACCGCCCATTCACTTTTTGCTCCAACAGATTTCTTTCCAGAAAGAAGGGGTAATGAAAAGTTACAAGGGTATTGAAGAGTGAAAAAGTGGTTTAAGTAGGAAAATTAGAAAGTGAAGATGAAAGAGTGAGTATAACTGTGTCCTTTAGATTTTAAAAATGAAAATGGAGAAAGGTTGTTAAAAAGGGAAAATGGGCAAGTGCTAATAAACTTCCATAAATTAAAGTGGAGTAAGTATTAAGTGAAAGAGGTAGCATGCGTTGATAATCATTTTATTTATTTGGGTTTATTGTATAAAAAGATTCTAAGTCAAATGTAATTACTCACTGTTTGCTTTGGGGTGGTGCATCTTCGTTGGCTTTAAAGGTTGGGCGATATCTTCTAGGCCACTGCCCCCTTATTCCTCTTGGTGCAGTATTCTGAAATTTCTGGTTATTAGCATATACTCTGCTCTCACTATTATAATTGTTTTCATTACCATATGCTCTAGGCCTCCTTCCACGTGGATATGCCGGATCTGCCCCTCTTTGTTTACCACGACCTCTGTAATGACCTCTGGAATTCCTCCTTCCCTGTGGGGTATTTCAAATAACATGTATCAGAGGATACATGTAACACATAATGACATAAGAAATTAACAAAGGCATGGGCATAAAAAAGCATTCACCCCATCATGACGTCTATCCTCCATGGTCAGCTCCTCGAACTTGTCATGCCCCCATTTTAAATCATCTTTACACTCCCATAACTTTCTTACACCAAACGCCCACCTAGAATAGTAACAAAAAAGGAAGCGAACTTATTGGTAAATTCATAACATGAGGCAGGACCTCTATAGTAAATAGTAAAAGGGGGTTTTTCAAAAAAAAACACTAAAATAAATGCTATGAACAGTGAACACTATAATAAATGCTATGAACAAAAATAGATCACTTTCAAAAAAAATCATAAGTGAGACTAAACTACTACCAGTGACCATGACCAAATGCACCAATAACCAATCCGGCCAGTGACCAACCCGGCCAGTGACTACTGTCAGCCACAATGACCCCAGTGACCAACACCGCTCTGACAGTGACCACAACCAAGGTAGTCAAAGTCGTGAGGCACATTCAAGGCCCTAGAGTACTTATATCGCCTGAGGTGCAAGGCGCAAAAAATCGCTCACCTGACTCATGTCAAGCTCTCTATTTAGAAAATGTTATGTATACTATTCTAGAGTAGGGTTGTAAACAAACCGAATAATTTTGATCCGATTCGCGATTCGAATTCGAAATTGATGATTCGAATTCGAAAAAATCGAATACGAATTCGAATACGAATCAATTTTATTATTCGAATACAATTCGAATACGAATACGGATATACATATATTCGATTCGTAAGTTATTCGAATATATTCGAATTGTATATTTACGAATTATAAATATATTCTATTATATTTATAATTTATATAATTGTTTAAAATTAAAATATAAAATAGGTAATACGTATTCTAGGTTTAAACCCTACTCAGACTACCGTCTCTAACTCTTCCCGTCTCCACTTCGAATCTTCTCGAGCAGCGATTCCAGAGTAACCAAGTTCCGCACAACTTCAAGGCGGCCTTCCACCGCACCGATCAATCATTACTCCAGTCTTCCACCACCAACCAGGACGGCCGGACGGCTCCATTACCCGCAGGGTCGCAGGCAGCAGCAGCCCGAGACCTGAACCAGACGTACTATTCTCTTCCTTGCACCAGCCGGCAGCCGCAACCCGTCTCTTCCTAACACCAGCCGCAGCCGCCTCTTCCTAGCACCAGGTGTTATCAATTCCAAGTTACGACCCATTTGGGATTTTTTGCCTGTTTTAATTATTTAGTGCTTTAGTTTTTTTTCCTGATTTATAATGATGTTATTTCCATTCTTATTCATTTAGTTCTTGCTGATATTGATGCCAAGAACATGTTTGTTCTGTTAGTTTATCATTGCTGGCCAGCAGTGAAACTTGAATGAGTACATAGTTACAATTTTTGAGTAATAAAATGATGATACCTTAATCACATGAATGACTTGAATGACTTTATAGTCCTATAGTCCTATCCGTATAGGTATATGTCCTATACTCCTATGTTTTACTGTGTTTTGAAAGGAAAGTCCTATGTATTAGTTAAATTCAGGAAGTTTACCTATTTATGATAGGTGTGTTGTCTTGTGTGTATGTGATTCATATAAATCTACTATTTGCTAACCACATCAGAATCATATTCCTATCATCTCAGTAACCTGATTAAAAGTGTAAGCCAAATAGGCAGTTAGGCACATTGTCTTATTTTGCACATTTTTTACATGGCTTTTTATAATCAAATGAATATATTATTTTAATATTTACAATTGTTAATATATGCTTTACACAGGTACAATATGGAGCAAATAGCACATATGGAAGATGCTATGAATGAGGAATTGATACATGAGGTAACTATTATTATATTATATGATTGTTGGGATATGCACTAACTATTATTATATATATTATTATATAAGATTTTAACAATTGTATCGTCGCAGGTGGAAAGTAATACAAATCCTCCAACAGAAGTTGAAGTTGATGGGGGGAGCACTACTATCAAAGTTGTCATGGCGCATGGCGCAATCCATGGCGCACAGGCCATTTCCCATGGCGATGGCGATGGCGCAAATATGGCGTCGCCACGTGACAAAAAAAAAACTTCAAAATGAATAATAAACACTGCAATTCATCAACCCAAGTTACCCCACCACCAAAACATGATAAAAAAGTTGAATAACAGCATCCTAAGCAAAACATGTGAAGTTAAAATAGTTTAAAGTACTTCCCAAAAACATAATATTCAAAAAAAGTTTCATGTCTTGCAAAATATGTTAGGATTTAGGCTTGTTAGCTTGTGTTTTTGTTTGATGGTTATGGCATAATCATCATCAATCATCGCACTCATCATCATCTTGGTTTGAATCTGATAGCAATGGCACACCATCCTCATTCATTTCATCATCAGAGGGATCTGCAACCTCGTCCGTTTCCTCCATTTCCTCTGCCACCTCTGTTTCCTCCATCTCCTCTTCATACCTTTTGTAGTTGGAAGAAGTCAATGAGGTCCCAGCTTCTGGTTGTGTCTTTTTTTGGCGCTCATATGTTTGTCGCAGGCTGCCTTTAACTTTGTCGCATACTGTCCGCACTCCAAGCTTTGTTTGTTTAAGTTTTTTTGTTAGGGTTGTTAATAATGGGCTTTGTGTGTTTATAATAGGTTTTTATATAAAGTTCTATTTAGCTTTATTATGTTAACGTTCAGCAGGCCCAACAGCCCCAAATTTCCGAACCTTCATGTGCGCAGATTTTTTAAAATGTCAAAGGATCGCCATGGCGATGGCGATAAAATGGCGATGGCGACACAATGGCGACGCCATGTGTATACCCAACGCCACAGCCCTTTTTATGGCGAAGGGGCATTTTCCGCGCCACATGGCGCATGGCGCAGTCGCCATGGCGCGCCATTGACAACCTTGACTACTATCGACGCTGATCTTGAAAGAATGGATGCAAATAACGATGACGACAATGGTGAGAAAGATGATGATATGCCTACATTTCAGAGGAAGAAGAAGAAAAAGACTTCAAAAGCTCGTGAGGATTTTGAAGAGGTGGTTTTACCGAATAAAACTAATAAGTATAAATGTGTACACTGCAAGAAACTGCTTTGTATGCCTGATACCGGTACCACCTCTCATCTTTGGAATCATTTGAAGAGATGTGATGCAAAGAAGCTTGCCACGAAAAAACAAATGAACTTGCAGTTTCAGCCATCAAAGTCCAAATTTGAGATGAATCCGTTATCAAATGGCAAGTATGATCATTTGAAGCAAAGAGAAGCAACTGCTCAATGGATCTTGATAAGTGAGCAACCTTTCAATGTCGTGGAAAGCGACGGATTCTCTTTTATGTTCCAGGTCAATCTCCCACAGTTTGAGAAGATCTCTCGTGCTCAAGTAAGAAGTGACGTTATCACTGTGTATGAGATTGAGAAAAGGAAGTTGTTGTCTATGCTAAAGTGCGTGAATAAAATTTCTTTAACCACTGATATTTGGAAGTCAAAGGTGCAAAAAATTTCATATATGTGTGTGACTGGTCATTTTGTGGACTCGCAATATCAACTTCAAAAGCGAGTTCTCAGCTTCATGCCGCTTCCTCCTCCACACACCGGTAAGTTTAAGATTTTATATAATATATATATATATACACACACTCACTTATGTTTACTACCTATTATTCAAGTGATTCACTAATACTAATCATCATTTGCTTGTTGCCCGGTTGTGCCTAATAGTAGTTGATGCTCAGATTTCTCGCACTTATATATGAATTTATTTTGTTGTGTTAGATGTATTTAATATGGATGATTTTCCGTATGTATTTAATAGTAGTTGCTGCCCAGTAGTATATATTCAAAATGGGGGATTGTGAAATAGATGGTCATTTTGTTTAAATGTATTATATGGCCAGCAGCTCTCTTTTAATGTGAAATAGTAGTCATTTTGTTTAAGTGTATTATAATGGTCAGTAGTTCTCTTTTAATGTGAAATATGTGGTCATTTTATTTAAACTTATTCATTGGCAAGCAGTTCTCTTTAAATGTGTATATTTGACTATCATTAATAGGTGTTGATATTTTTGATGGGCTTATGAAGTGCACAAAGGATTGGGGAATTGAGCACAAAATATTCACTATATCTGTGGACAATGCTTCAAATAATGATGTCGCACTTCGAATTGCTAAAGGTACTTTCTCTAGCAATCACAAATTGCCATTAGAAGGAAAGTTATTTCATGTGAGGTGTGCTGCACATATTTTAAATTTGGTTGTTCAAGATGGACTTTCTGAAATAAGATCCATCATTGGTGATGTTAAAGATAGTGTGCGATTTATTAATCAATCTGAGGCTAGGTTGCTCAAATTTTCTGAAATTGTGCATCATTTAGCAATTAAAGCTAAAAGGTTGATTATTGATTGTCCTACTCGTTGGAATTCAACCTATGAAATGTTAGTTGAAGCGTTGAAGGTGAAAGATGCATTCCCTATCTTTGCACAAAGAGAAACTTTATACCACTGTTGTCCTAGTTCTGGAGATTGGGAAAAGGTAAAGGAAGTTGTTAGTATTCTTGAGGTGTTTTACGAAGCTACTCATGTATTATCTGGAACTCATTACCCCACATCTAATGTTTTTCTTGCTGTCATTTGGAGAGTTAAGCACGTGCTAGATGAGAATGAGGCTAGTCCCAATGAGTTTGTCAAAAACATGGTCAAAAAAATGAAGGAAAAATTTGACAAGTATTGGGGAAGTTGTAATCTTTTGATGGCTATTGGAGCAATACTCGATCCAAGATTCAAAATGAGATTGGTTGAGTTTGCTTTCAATAAGCTATATACTGTGAGTGAGTCCCGTATAAATCTTAAAACAGTTCGAGATGCCTTATATGATTTGTTTTCGGAGTATGTTGAACATGATCATTTGAAAGCTCGAAAGCACAACTCTTCTTCACCAATTGAGAATCCTTGTCCAAGTCACTTGAGCTCAATGTCCAAAGGAAAGTTAATACCTTCGGGTTTAACTATGTTTGATGATTATTTGAATTCCGTTCAACATGATGCTCCTTTGAAATCAGAGCTAGACATCTATTTAGAGGAGGGAGTTTTTAGATGCCAAGAAGGAGATGTAACATCTGAGTTTGATGCATTGGCTTGGTGGAAATCTCAAGAGCTCAAGTTTAAGATTTTATCTAAACTAGCTCGTGATGTTTTAGCTATCCATATTAGCACTGTGGCATCAGAGGCGACTTTTAGTGCAGGAACTCGAGTATTAGACCCGTATCGTGCTAATTTATCATGTGACATGGTTGAGGTTTTGATTTGTGGAGGTGATTGGGTTCGTCAACTTCATGGGATAAGAAAGGCTATGAAAACATATGTAAGTTTTAATCATATTTCTAATCTTTTTATTGAATATTTTACTTGTATATTTTTCAGAATATCTAAGTAAGTTTAACCATTCATTTAACTTTTACAGGAAGAGGAGTTGCCGATTGAAGTTTTGCTAATAAATTGAAGGGTTAAAGCTGGGAGGAACTTCAAAGAATTCAATTGCAGTGATTATTATGAACTCTGGATGGCCTTTTATGTAGACAATTTTTACATTCTGTCTTACTTATGTTTCAATGACTTTAATTTGAGTGGGGTTCTTTTGCACTCTGGGAGTACGTACTACATGTTGCTCTATTGCAATTACTTTTATTTGAGTGGGTTTCTTTTTGAAGCAGCGGATTTAACTTTGAATCTCACTCAAAGTTAATTTATTTTTATCTGTGTTTTTATCGTCTGTATTGCTATTAGTTTAAGTAATTGAATTAACTGTGTTTACTTTATTTGTGTGTGTTTCTTTAGCAATTGAGTTTTGAAGTAATTGAATTTTTGAAATAATTCATTTAATAGACATTTGTGAAAAATCGAAAAATGCCTAAAATGAGTCATAATTTGAATAGGTGATTTTTTTTACACTTCAAATATTCAAATTGGAATTCGAATATCCGAATTCGAATTCGAATATTCGAATATGAATATACTCAAATACAATAAACGAATCGAATATGAATCGATTGTAAGATTCGAATAATATACGAATACGAATACGAATATTCGTCAATTTATACGAATACGAATAATATTAATCACTATTCGGTTCGATTCGATTCGTTTACAACCCTATTCTAGAGTGATCAAATATGACATATTCAACTTCCCTAAAAAAAATGACATATTCAACATCATGTTCAACATAAAAAATGACATATTCAACATCATACTAATCTAGGGGGACTGGCGGGGCTGTATTCAAAATGGAAAGATGATGAAGAAGAAGACCCCTTATGGGTTGCTGACTTGCTAGCTTCTGTGGGTTCATCATTGAATGCTATTTCAGCGCTGAACCGGTTGCTTAAGTAGAGAATAGGAGAGTAACGATGAAGTCACACTATGGAAGGCTTTTACCGTGACTTAGAAGGGTTTAACATGCTTTTAAGTTGTTTTGACCTATTATTTGAATGGGCTAAATCTTATTACAAGGATGGACTTGTTATTTAAAGTAGGATCAAAGAAATAAACGGGCTAATAAGCCTTTCCCAGGCCAGGCAACTTACGCGTGCGCTTTTCAGCACTTCAGAGCCTATGCGCTTATTGCGCCTAGCTTGCGCCTCACTCAAGTGACTGCGCCTGGGACTGTAACAGGCGCTGAACCTCATATGCGCCTCGCCTGGTGCTCTTAAGTGCTCAGGCGCGCGCTTTTGACTACACTGACCACAACCACCCTAACAGTTACCACCACCACCCCGGTAATTACGGCCCCGCCGGTCCCACATGGCCCAACGAGTCCCCACCATGCGCACCGCCCTGCCCCGCCCCACCAGCCCATCCCTATACCCTAACCCCCCTCCCTGGACTACCCCTTCCAGACGCCGCCCAAGTCACTCCACAAACCTTGTCAAAGCTTAAACGCACCACTGCACTACCATCGGCCTAAAACTCCAACCCACCATTAATTCAAACCCAAATAAACGAAGCACAGACCAAGATCCCAAATTGGTGAAGAACAAATTGAACCTGTCGGCCTCCGTTTGTAACAGATCCAGCAACACCATAGATCGCTGTCTGTAACAGATCGAGCAACGGCCTGAAACCGTAGCCTGCCATCTGCTCACCCCAGTATTTGACTGTCGCCGCCTGCACTCGATGAATAGCCGCAGCAAAGGAGAGGTGCAGAGCAGCAATTTCGGCATTGAACTGCCCATGTGTCCACGGTTGTGGGCTGAGCTCGCCAAAGTGGAGCACCGCCCCAGTGCCCGTCCCCGCCGTCATTGTCTGCCGACACTGCCGCCGTTGCCGAGCTCGCCGAAGTGGAGCACAGTCCGCTGCCGTTAAGGTTGCGTGAGAGAAAGGAATATTGATCGTCACTCCAGAAATGTAGGTTTAGTCTCTTTTGTCCTTCACAAAAATGGCCCTATTTTTGTCTGGTCAAAAGTCACTAACTCCTATTTTTTCCATTTTCAGAATAAAAACCAGTAGAAATCTTTAACATGGCCTATCCAACTAGCAATGGTCATTCCAATCTGGAAGTTCTATTTCAAACTAAAATCTACTTCAATGTCATGCCCTAAGGGGCAATACCAATTTGCAATGTCCTTCATTAAAGTCCAATGAGAATGAAATGTTATAATGGTTAGGAATTTTTAAGGATTGGTAGTCATCACCAGTCCTGAGATGGACAGACCAACTCCAAATCTAAGAAATCAGAACTCTCCAATTAGACAAAACAACAAGTACAAACACAATTTGAGAGTAACGTACACTCACAAACATCAAACAAGAAATCAAACCTTTGCCTCCCACGTGCATTGTCCCCAAACCTATCATCGTGCATATAAAATGCTCCAGCAGTTGGCACAGCATATGGTTCATGCTCCTTCTTCTCCACCAATTTTGCCTGCAGGTGACCACCATCCTCACCATCCAATCCCTTATGTATAGCCTCTACAGCCAGTCCTTCCCCGATCACTTCAGGGCCACCCAGTGCTACCACAGGCTCTGTCTGAGCCTCATCATCAACTTCTACACTTGCTGGCAAACCTCCATCCACGTACTCTTTTCCCTCCTCCACATACTCCACCCCGTACTCTTCAAAGTACTCCAACCCATCCTCACCTTCTTCTCCATCTTCCTCTTCTTCTTCAAAGTCAGCAAAACCGCCTTGTCTGTCAGACTCCCCGTCGGAATCAATCCTCCGCGGAGGAATCTGTTTCTCGCTTTCTTCACAGCTCTCCTCTTCATCATCGCTGGCCTCTCTCCTTCGCATCTTCAGCGACAGCTTCGCCTCCTCCGGATCACTCTCGTACTCCACGTCCTCTTCTCCCACACGAGCACCAGCGGACATCGATTCATTCATGATTAAAGCCCGATCCCAAAAAAACAAAGAAATATCGCTAGAAAAAGGGACACTTTGTTGAAGACCTAGCCTGGACCAACAGCCCTGATTTCCCAAGGACTTTTTAAGCAGGATTTCTAGGGTTCGGTTATAGAATGGAAAGTGAAACCTCCCCAGAAAGTTGTAGGTTTATAAAGAAAATAGATATGAAATGCATAGTTCCAAAAAAGGTTGAATAGCCAACCCCCAAGAGCTCCCACGCCCCGACCCGACAGGTTGAATAGTTTCCAAAAAAGAGACCATCCCTCAAATTAATACGGATCAGGCATCACACATACGTATCCCATGTACTACGGATCATTCGTCGTGCGGCTCCTATGCCTAGCCACATCCCAATTGTGAAAATGCTAGCAATGAGCAATAAAAGAGATGTTACTTTCAAAAACAAAATGTTGGCCCTGTAAAAACAGATGTTGACTTTTATAACCTTCCCCATTACTTGTTTCCACTAGTTACAATTATTTCATCTGAACGGTTACTATTACCTTTTCGTCCTTACATGTCCGACCAATTATAATTATCCGACCAAATAGTTAGAGGTACTTGACCCAAATCAATTATATTTATCCGACCCGATAACTTACAGTTATTCAAATCGATCAGTTACAATTATCGGGATTAACCAGTTACAGTTACCCGACCAACCAATTACAGTTACCCGATCAGCCAGTTACAGTTACCCAGACCGACCAGTTACAGTTACCCGGATCAACCAGTTACAATTACTCGGATCGATTAGTTACAATTACCTGAACCCAGTGACCAGTGACCAACTCAATCACTTATCAACCAGTGACCAATCGAGCCCAGTGAGGCAGTAACTGTTACCCGACCGAACAATGACCATTTGCTTGATAGTGAGTCAGTGACATAATGAAAGTTCATTTGACCCGACAGTCACCGGCGTCGGCTTCCGGCCAGTGCCACAGCCCGCTCCAGTCACAGTTACCAAAGCCGAAAGTGACAACTGACCACTGCCGGTGACCACCGCTCGTTATTGCCACCGCCCTCCCCCGTCAGTAACCCAGCTGCCGACCCGACAGCCCCTCCCAGCTCCATTCCACTGCAGAACTGCTGCCCAACCCCACACCCCGCCCCAACCCCTGCAACTATGACATTCTGCCCCAACCACCATCCCCTGCACCGCCCGACCAGCCCGCCACTGCCCCGATCTACCCACCTGCCATCACTTTACCGCCCCCACGAGCCATTACCTACCCCAAAGGGTCGACAATTTCAGGTCTACGCAGGATTAGACGGCGGATTGCTCAGGAAGACGGTGGATCTGCCAGTACGAGCAGAGGCGGTTTGCAGAAAAGAAGAAAGGAGGAGAAACGATAGAGAGGAGTCGTCGTCTTCGCCGTTAACCGAAGCTGTCGCCGCCGTTAACCGAAGCCGTCGCCGCCGTTAACCGAAGTCTTCTCCGCCGTTAACCGAATCCGTCTCTGCCGTTAACCGAAGTCGTCGCCGTCGATATTGAAGTCGCCGATGTCTCTATTTGAAGCTGTCGTCGTTGGTCGCAGGGAGATTAGATGATGGTGAAGCCGTCGTTGTATCAGATGGCTGGATGAAGGAGAGGTCGTATGTAAGCGAGCCGGGATTGAAGGGTCTCTTTTTCGTCCAAACTAATATCGGTTCTATTTTTGCCCACTCAAAAGCCTGGGGTATTATGTTTGACAATATTTCTTCAACTTTTCATCGTAGGTCTGACACTCTGACCTCTGTAGTCTGTTTGTACCTCCGGTGGAAGCCTGTACTCTGACTTCACTCGCAACTACCTTTGTAGTCTAAACTTCATTGCCTCTCTGCCTTGGTGGAAGCCGATTATAGCGTTCCGGCTTTACGAAGTTAAGAAGTTTACAAAGCATTGTAGTCTTATGGATTTGTGGAAGCTTGCAACCCATTCGATTATTTTAACTCTTACTGAGGTATAAACATTAAATACTTAAATTGTTTTTTTCCCCTGGTAATTCTCCAAGCCCCCCGGTGGATCCTGGGGTGGGGTCAGGGAACATCCCACCAATTTATTATGGCAATGTGAAATACAGATAGTAGGAGGACCAAACCAAAGCCGACTCAGAGATACAAATAAAAACTATGTAATATAAGGAAAGTTAGTAGCATCAAACTTTAAAATGCCCACGAAATTATTAAAATGATGAGTATTGGTTTTAATAGACATGCAACAGTATGCTAGAAAATCAGCTGCCTTGTTAATGGTTGGATTGACGTGAGTAGTGGTCCAGTTATAGCTTCCAAATTTTCTGCGTATGTTTCGAAACTGCGACCAATATGTCCAATGCTGTATAGAGATCCCCTGAAGTCCTTCGTAGACATTACTATCTTCCACCTCAAAAATGAAATTAAAAGTGTTAAATTTTCTTAGGAGGGGAATAATATAGTCTAAAGCATCATAAGTAGCATCAGTAGTATTCACGTGGTGGACCACGTGAGTGGCATGACCCATGTAACTACCAGTACTGTTACGAACAATGGCAGTCAAGCGGATCAATTGGGGGGGTAATATTTCGGGAGGCTAGGTTAACTTTGAAGTAGCTATCTGGGGGTTTAATTTAGTCCAGATTTTGAGAGCATGTCTTTTGACAGTATGTTTGGTAGGGATGTAGTGAATGTTGAAAAGAACACTAGGGTTATTCGTAGTGAAAGGTTTTGCCACCGACATGGCATAAATATCAGTTCTAATAGCTTTTATAGCCTCAGGAGTGTTGGCCTTGTTGTTATCATACAGAACTTTGTTTCTAGCTTTCCAAAGGTGCCAAGTGATGATGTTAGGGAGGGTGTGGTTAAAATCATTTATAGTGCTTTTGAAATCCAAATACCATTTAGTAATGTAATTACTGAAGGTGCCTGTTTTGTTTGGGTGAAAGCCAAAACAAATTTCAAAATGATGCCAGATAGTCATAGCAAAATTACAGTGAAGGAAACAGTGATCAATGGTGTCCGGGCTATTACAAAAAGAGCATTTGAACGGACGGTGGATACCAAAAGTTGTGAGTTTATCCTCAAAAGGCAGCAAATGGTTATTGAGTCTCCATAAGAAAAAATAAATTTTTTGGGGGGTACGGCTGTTCCACACATACTTGGCACTCAAGTTCAAAGTCATTTTAGGCCGCATAACATCATAGGCACTATTAAAACTGAAAATGCCATTTGAATTAGGTTTCCAGATATGGGCATCTTTAGTATCATTGAAACTGATATTAAGGTCTGTAATTTTGGTTATGATGTAGTTCGGGAGACAGTTTTGGATCGCAGAAATAAGGCTATTATTATGCATAGCTTCAAAAACAGTTAGATGCTCTAAATCATCCGGGAGGTGGTTTTGGAACTGGTATAGGGGGCCTAAGTCGCACCAACTATCAAACCAAAAAGAACTACAACCATTATTCACCTGAATGCAGCAGTTAATATCAAAAACAGACCTCACAGATTCAAGAGAGTTATGCATAACAGACCTGGCAGTACCATTAAGAAAATTTACCCATGTAGCCCAAAGACCCATGCCATTTGCTAGCTTCTAAAGGAGTTTTAGGAAGAAGGTTTTTTGAATATGTGGTAGGCTTCTAAAACCTAAAGCATTTTCCAGAATCGGGAAGCAACATTTTGACCAGCGTCTCCAAACATGCTTTTTATGGTCATTATTCTTATCCCACAAAAAATCAGTGAGCCTCCTTTCCATTTTGTGAAAAACTGATTTAGGTATGGGGCAAACAGCCATATGGTAAAGCGGTAAGGAATTTAAAACATGGTTAATAAGAATCATTCTACCCCCAGTCGAGAGTAGCTTGTGTTTCCAACCTGCAAGTTTGTTATCAAATTTGGCCAAAATGTGATCAAAATGAACATTAAGGGTACGACCAACATGAATATTTGCACCCAAATAAGTAAAGGGAAAAGACCCCTTATTGATGTGAAAAATGTGGTTGACCAAGTTGCAGCTGTAAAATTTAGCATATTTGGAGATCAAATAGAAACTTTTTTCCTTACTGATAAGTTGACCTGAAAAAAGTTCATAGTCAGTGATAGTCCTTTGAAGATTTATAGCGTTTTTTGCTAGCATTAGAAAAGACAATCAAATCGTCAGCAAAAGATAGGTGGCTAATGCATGGCATACCTTTAAAGGTGCTATAAGCAATACCCTTACCAGATAAGTACAGGTTATTCAAATTCCTAGTAAGAACCTCAGCCACCATAATGAACAATATAGGGGATAAGGGGTCCCCAGCTTCACCCCCCGGGAGGGTTTAAAAAAGCCTTTCGGCACACCGTTAATAAGAATAGAGCACCAAGTCGCATGGAGGTTGTTAAGAATAAGGTTAACAAAATTGTTGTGAAAACCAAATTTTATAAGAACATGCTTTATAAAGGACCAAGAAATTCTGTCAAAAGCTTTCACCATATCAAATTTAAAAATGATATTGTGTCCCCTGTTTTTTTTGTGGATATGGTTTACCAATTCTCTAAGGAGTAAGATGCTATATGATATCTCTTTACCTTTTTGAAAGGCAGTTTGTTCATCAGAGATGATTTTAGGAAGAAGAGTGGTAATACGAACAGTTATGATTTTGGTGAAAATTTTGTTGAGAAAGTTACTTAGGCTAATAGGTCTGAATTTTGAAAATTGGTACGCATTTTTCTCTTTGTGGATAAGAGCAATTAGGGTGTGACCAATAATTTTAGGAATAGGAACACCACAGAAAAACTCCCTGACTGCGTTAAACAAATCTACCTCAATGATATCATAGGCACTCTGGTAGAACACCCCGTCATAGCCATCACTTCCAGGAGCACTGGTTTTATCCAGGTAAAAAACAGCATCCTTAAGCTCTTTTTTAGTGATTGGACTCATCAAGAAGTCATTGTCTGTATCACTAATAACAACATTAATATTATGCAGGTAACTAGTTGGGTCAAGCACCTCAGTATCCTGATCTGCAGTGAGCAAGTTAGTAAGATAGGAGATAGTAGCATTATTAATATCATCAACGTTTTCAATCCAGTTGTCATCATCCTTTTTAATTTTGGAAATATTTAGGGCCTGTTTACTAACAGAGATATTTTCCAGTTTTCCAGAAAACTGGAAAACTGGAAAACAGGAAACGTGTTTACCAAAGAAATTCCTGGAAAACTGGAGAAAGGAAAAAAGGAAAACGCGTTTGCCAAATCGTTTTCCAAAA